TGACGAAGCCACCGACTCTAACGCATTGTTTTCTATCCGTCAGGTAGCTACGAAACCAATCAATTGCTACGCCTCTTACTCCAAATTGAGACTCCAGCTTCGCTAAGAGTATTGGAATCGAGACTGTATCAAAAGCCTTCGACAGGTCCAAAAATACAGCAATACTGGTTTTATGAGCATCCAAATGGGAGGCTACTGTAGATGTTAACAAGTTGACAGCATCATCTGTTGACTTTCCACTTCTAAACCAAATTGCTTCGGTGATATTAAATTATTCGATTCAATGAACTTTGTTAGTCTTTTGTTAACCACCTTCTCAAGTAATTTGGAGAATGTTGTCAGCAAAGAAATAGGACGGTAGTTTTGCGGGGTGTCCTTAGGCCCATTTTTATAAATAGGTTTAATGCATGCCTTCTTCCAGTTTTCTGGAAAAATACAAGTCGACAGACTTAGATTGAATATGGCAGTAAGAGGAGGGATGATTATGTCTTTAATTTCTTTTAAAAGAGGATTACTTAGGCCATCAATACCCGGGGCTTTATCATTTTGCAGTGATAGAATAAGGGAATGTAACTCATATTCATCTGTAGGGTGCATAAAGAGTGAGTTTGTTATAAGATTCTTTGGATAAATTTTTGTCGCTAGATTTTTTTCCTCAGTTTGTAATTCGCGTAGAATACTATTTGCTAGAGTTTGTCCCACCGTTGAGAAGTAGCTATTGCACTTGTCCAAGGAGTGCTTAGCGTCTGTCGTCCCTTCAATCTTTAGTAAATCGTGAGGTTCATGTTTATTTGCAGAAAAATGGCAAATGTCCTTTATTGATCTCCATAATTTTTTTGGATTATTTAAATTACTAGATAAGGTTTTGTTTTGGTATTCTATTTTGAGTTTACGTAACAAGTCATTACAAAAATTACGATAGCGAGTATATATAATTCGTTTGAGTGTGTCATGTGGATTTTCTCGCGTTTGCATGTGCAAACGGTCTCTGTGTCTCATACAGCGGATTAATCCGGAAGTGATCCAAGGTTTCATATTATGTTCTTTACGTTTTAATGTTACTTTACTTGTGTACTTGCTAATTGTTTGAAATACGCGAAGACAAAAAGTATTAACTGTTTTGTTAAGGTCATGAGAGTCAAATGATTCGGACCAGTCAATTTTATTGAGCTCTTCTCTGATCGCATGTATGTCGTGTTTAAGCCTAACGCGATTTAGTATCATTAAGTTATGCATAGTTAATGATAGACCTAATATTATAATATCATGATCAGTTATGTCACTACAACAGACTACACCAATAGCACCCTCAGTTTTATTTACAAAGACATGGTCAATACATGCTTCCGCTCTTGTTGGCTTTGTTATAGCAGGAAAAAGACCATGTTCTGCTGTTAAGCACAAGTATTCTAAATCTTGATTACTTGATGCGGATAACAAGTCTATATTTAAGTCACCGGCCATTACAAGATTAGTATTAGAGTTTGTATGTGTATTTAATATTGAGTAAAGAGAACACAAGAAATTGTTTGTATTTTTAAAAGAGGGGGGACGATATATTGCAAGTATGGTAATTAAATTTGAAATTTGTATTTGCAAGCAGTTGGCATCCTTAAGGTCGGGTTCCAAAACCGAAGCATTCCATGTATCCTTAATGTAAACTACAACGCCGCTATTTTGGTTAACTATCGTTTTTGTATAACAGGCAGTGTAAAACTCTATTTTAGGAATGATTGAGGTGTCATTAAGCCAGCACTCAGTTAAAATAATTATATCAAAAATTGTGTCAAATCTCTTTAAGGTAGTTTCAAAATTATTAAAGTTCTTATTTAAGCTTCTTATGTTAAAATTAAGTACTTTAAAATTGTAAGCCTGCGTTAAAACGGTTCCACATTGCTCGGGTTCTTTTATTGTGTGGCAGTTTATACATATTGTTTCTAACTCATAATTATTAATCATATGACTATCGCCCGTTAAAACTATTATCTATTAGTAAAATATCATGATTGAACTTTATTTTAAAACCACCACACAGAAGTCTTGCTCGGCTCTGTATAACCAAGTATAGAAGTGCTTTAGAATAGAATTGCTCGCAAGAAAATTTACTTTGTTTATGACTACTAAGAACAGTAATACACCTTCGGGCTATATTTATACATACGGATCCATTGTGAGTTTTGGAATAAGGACTCGAAAATTGCAATGCTACACTAGAAATTTTGTTATTTTGAGCAACGTTACCTCTAATCTCTTTTAAATACTGACAGACTCTTATGTTAAATTTACAGTTTAACAAACATAAACAATAATTATAAACAACGACAATTACGTTATTTTTAGCAACGTGATTTATAATCACTTTTAAATAGTGCCAGATTTTTAAATAAAATATATATCTTAACAACAATAAACAAAAATAATAAACAAACAAAATTATGTTATAATCAGCATCGTGTCTTCTAATCACTTTTAAATACTGCCAGATTTTTATGTAAAATATTATACAACTTAACAAAAATAAACAAAAATAATTAACTATGGAAATTATGTTATATTCAGCAAAATTACTTCTAATTACTTTTAAATACTGCCAGACTTTTATGTAAAATATTGTACAACTTAACAAAAATAAACAAAAATAATTAACTATGGAAATTATGTTATATTCAGCAAAATTACTTCTAATTACTTTTAAATACTGCCAGACTTTTATGTAAAATATTGTACAACTTAACAAAAATAAACAAAAATAATTAACTATGGAAATTATGTTATATTCAGCAAAATTACTTCTAATTACTTTTAAATACTGCCAGACTTTTATGTAAAATATTGTACAACTTAACAAAAATAAACAAAAATAATTAACTATGGAAATTATGTTATATTCAGCAAAATTACTTCTAATTACTTTTAAATACTGCCAGACTTTTATGTAAAATATTGTACAACTTAACAAAAATAAACAAAAATAATAAACAGAAGAAATTATGTTACATACGGCAACGTTAATTCTAATCACTTTTAAATACTGCCCGTCTTTTATATAAAATATTATACAACTTAACAAAAATAAACAAAAACAATAAAGAGAGGAAATTATGTTATACTCAGCAACGTTAATTCTAATCAGTTTTAAATAATGCCCGACTTTTATGTCAAATAGTATACAACATAATAAAAATAAACAAAAATAATAAACAAAGGAAATTATGTTATTTTGGGCAACATTACTTTTAATCTCTTTTAAATAAATTATATAATTTTTTAAAAATAAACAAAGATAATGAACAAAGTTGAAGAAACAAAAAACAAATAATTTTGAAGTTTTGCTATAATAGTTATAATGCATACCGAGGTTTTTACTGTTTGTTAGCTGTAGAAAAAATTCCAGCCAATTCATCGTGATTGCGAACAGGGCGAGCTGGTTTACCTTCATATTGTCTAACAAAAACGGTACCTTGGGAGCACCAACAATAAGAGAAGCCCATTTCTTTAGTTTTCTTTCGAGCTTCACGAAAAAGCTCACGGTTGTATTTTGTCAAACGCTCGTTATAAAATATCTTTTGTGACAATCCGGGTACGTCAATGTCTGTACTTGTTATGTTTCGTCTTGATTTTGCTGCTTTAACTATTTCGTCCCGTTTAAACTTTCGTGCGAAGCGCACAACCACTGGTCTTGGAAATTTAGCTTTATATTCCGCACTAGTTGCAGGCTTGCCACGGGGGCCAACGCGAGTTACCCAGTCAATATCACGGTCATCAAGCTCCACGCCCACTTTACGGGCAGCCAAGAGCGCTATGTGATGGAGGTTTTCGTTATTAGTTTCTGGTATACCGGACAGTTCAAGTTCGTTTCGCAGATGATTTTGAGCCTGCATGTTTAGTTCTTGTTGCAGATCTTTTACAGTGGCTTTTAATATTTCCGTCTGTTGCTCATGGCCTTCCAACTGTTTGATTCGGTTGTCGTTATGAGCTACAGCTGAACCCAGCTCTTCCAGTCTCTTCTCGCAGCTAGATAATGAAGATATGGCGTTCTCGAGCTGTTTTTTCAGCGAGGAAATTTCGTGGGTTAGTAAACGGACTTCGCTGGTGAGTTCTTTTAACTCGGTGGTAAAAGCGGCATCAGAAACAATTTCGGACTTTTTTCGGAGTGTTATATTATTTTCCGCGGGCCTAATGGGTGTTGAGCTGTTGTCTCCCCCTTTCTTTTGTGATGCACAACAGTCAGGACATTTCCAGTTGCTTTTCTTTTCAATAGACAGCCCCGTTAGATTTATACATAAAGAGCAGAAATGTTTTTCACATTTGGCTGATGAGCACTTTATTTTATTTAAGTCCTTCGTAGATTTTAAACAACCGTGGCACTTCATTTCACTATATAAATTATTCGCAGGGTAAAGTGACAAAAGATGACCATTCGTTTCTATTATACTTGAACAAAATAACGTCGAAGGCAGCAAGTGAATCACATGCAGTCAGCAGCGATACATCTCATGCAAGAAAGACACTTACGTCGCAAACGTCTTGCGCTGGGCAACACACTGTTACTCACTTGTTCGTTAATTCACTTTTAAAAGTTTACAATTTACTTTTAACTTTAGTAATTCACTTGAGTTTAATGATTTTGAGTGAGTTTGATATTACACTAGTTTAATGAAAGTAATTATTAATTATAAATTCGATATTTTTGGAGAGGATTAACAGGGTAGGTGTTAACAGTTCGACCAAGCGAAACGGAATCGATATATATATATATATATATATATATATATATATTATATAGCAAAAGTTGCTTACTTCTGGTAAGAGATGGCGCTAGGTATGCGTTGCCATTTTAAAGGTCGAAGATAGGTCTCTATTTCAGTATATATAAAGGTACTCTGTGGCCAATCGTGACGTGAATGTCATGTTCACGTGTATGTTTTACGTTTTTAGGTTTACCATCAAAAGCTTGTAGAACTATTTGTGTATATATTCCAATTATTATTTACAAGATAATGGCCAAGAAAAGAAAGTTTGATGGGTTAGTGAGAAATTCAAACATTCTTAATTCTTCATCGGTCGAGGTTATAGTTGAAGATGTCGTTTCCCATCCGTTATGTTTACACGGCCCGACTTTGTTATTTGCATCCGACAAAGGCCGATTTTTCTCCTGTTCTTTGTGTCGAAAGAAACAGGACTGCACTGTACACATCGACGAGGAGGATTGGAAGAAAGAAAGTGTACGTAAACGTAACGAGAAATATTACAGTTTAATCCCTAAACTTGATAAAGCTGCAGGGTGGAAAAACTTTAATGAGGTAAGTTGTGTTCCATTTTCATAATTCTATTCGTAAAATAAATAAGTAGCTAATATTCGAATAAAGAACCTTATAAGAATTTTAATATTCCATAACAATACATAATTATCTTCTATTTAGGAGACTCGGGTGTAGACTTATTAAGTTTTTTTTTTCTTAATTGTAATGCTTGGCAGGCATCCAATCCGATGGCAATTGAAGGGTACAGGGAAAGAAAGATCATTCTCACTTGGCAATTTTGTCCTCAGAAAACTTATAAAACTTATTTATCTTTCTCAAAGTATTCATTTTAAAAACATTGTGAAGTATCTTTTAATACTACAATATATGAATTACAAAATTATACCAACATATTTTTTTTTACTAATGCTACATAACAATTTAAGTAGAAAAAACAATTGTCCAATCTAAGGATTACTAAAAAAAAAGATCAATGTCTCTGAACTGTGATCCTTTTTACATTTTGATGCATTTATATTTTTTATATTGTATTGTATTTATTTACTTGTTTTTCTATAAAAATTTTATCAACATTATTGGTAAATCGAATTACACTAGTGTGAGCAATTTTTATTTTTTTTATTTAATCTTTTATGCACAAAGTTGTACATATGGCAGACTTAATGCCATAGGGCATTCTCTCCCAGTCAAGCATTAGGCTAAACAGGGATATACAAACAAGAGGCGTTGCAGCAGTAATCAAAATAGAAAGCGCAAAAAATAGTATTGTATATACATATACACACACATGCATAGACATATATACTTAAATACACATAATATATACACTAAATACATACATACACATATACATGCGTACACTACATATATACACAATACATATAAATATTATCTATTTCAGAACAAATATGAAATATACATGTGTATGAAAATAAGAGCTGTGTTAGTTCAAACTTGCAACAATTTTTTCACATGCTTACGGACTTGATTTTTAAAAACAAACTTGTTGGAAGCTTTTTTAATGTCAAGTGGAATGTCGTTCCAGAGGCTGATGGCTATGAGGGCGAAAGATTGAGATAAATAACCAGTACGGTGTAAAGGAGTAAGCAACTTAAGATTAGCCGAAGAACGGAGAGAACGATTATGAGATTTTTACGTGGTAGAGCCATGCTGCAGCTGTATTATGGTTGTAGCACGAATGGGTCGGTTCGACCGGGGAAGGACCACACTCTCACAGAAAACCAGCGTAAAATAGCAGCTTAACGCTGCCGTGTTTCGTATGGTGAGTGTAGAGAACCGGAGACCCTTTTTACTGGCAAAGAGGCATTCCATCTTAGTCCTCACGGGTGACAACGCATCTGCATCTTGAGTCTTTATTGAGGATAGATGTAGATGTCTATGGGTCACAGTAACCACTTACCATCAGGTGGACTGTGTGCTCGTTTGTCACCCGATCCTATAAAAAAAAATGAGAATCTCCCAGATATTGAAAGAAGGTTGGCCAAATCGTACCAGACGATGAAACAATGGTGTTACTATATGCCATATTTATGAAAAATATCCTTATTTTTTAAGTTCTTAAATAACACAAAAAATACCTCTAAGTAGCCACAAAAAAAAGTTATCCATTTATTTTTGTTTTTGTAACTGTTCCGAAATTATTTAAAATAATGGTTTCTGAACGCACTGGAAAGTACTTAATGACGATTCATTTGACGTATGAATGTATTTAGTATTCAAAGACTATAATTATTCACGTTTTTCTAAATAGTTGTTAATTGTAATTCAATTCAATTGGTATGTAGGCATCAAATCAACTACTATACTGTTTTATTATGTACTGGATTCATGTCATAAAAATAATTATATAGCTTCATAGTAAGCTAAGCGTTTTGTTCAATTACGTACAATGGAACATCATTTGTCATCGACAAGCTATCTGTGGCCATCGATCGACATTGATTGTCATCCTGCAATCATCTACACATATATAAGCTAATATAACATCTACACATCTATTTATCTATGGCAATCTTTCGTATCATCTTATTTGCTTTACTCATTGTTGTGGATTGTTATACGTACTGTACTATTTTAGATTTTCTTCTGTTGTTTTGACCTCGGCATTGATTTACGGACTGATAAGTACCACTTGTAATGATTATTCTGTGCTTTTGATTTTTGGACACCGATTTTGCACCTTGCATATTTGTGAGAGACATCATGCAGACTACAGCTACACAACAACGAAAACTAGCCCTTGCGATTGCTATGTGTTAATTGTAATATAAGCATTGATACACTTCGCCGCCATCTTGTTTTTGAGCTTGATACCAGAGTCATTTCTAAGATCCGCGAGTGGAATTCTTCAATAATAGTACATATTTACATACCTACTTATTTTACACTAACATAAACCATCACATACAATCGTACATCATAATACAAATCTAATTCTTATTTTAGATCACTGAAGAAGATTACATTTGCAATGCTAACCTCAAAAGTATTGTTGACATTATTATAATAAATTGTGGCTATTTAGATATGATTTTCAAACGGGATGGTGTTTACAACATAAAAACAAACCAATCTAGCTATAGTTTGTTTTGGGACATGAAAAATAAAAGTCAAGTCCTGCTCCTATAGAAATTTGGCCATTGTTCTTTGGATTTCAGATACTCGGGAGCACATGGATCGTTCAGAATTGTGAAAAGGGTGCAGAGTATTCTGACATAAAAGAAGATACATGGTCATATTTACGGAGACCATAAATGTATCTGGTACAGTTATTAAATAGACGATCCAATGTATTAAGATGATGTTGAGACAGGTCTGAGCAACACACATCAACATAATCAATTATTGGTAGGATAAGTGGTGGGAAGAAATTTTTTTAATCGATATAGAGATCGCAAAGTTCCAGTAGTTCTGCGACTCACCTCCTGTATATGTTTGTTCCATGTAAGCAACCATCAACGTACAGACCAAGGTTCTTTACATGGGGAGAGAATGGTACTACATTACTTTTAAACATAATTGATGGTAGGGTGGGAATATCTAGTTTCTATAATAATCGTGGGCAACGTAAGATTATTGTTTGGCACTTAGATGGGTTCACGTTTATGCCATACTCAGTGGACCATTCGTAGATGTATTTCAAGTCATCATTTAACAATGAGATAGCATTAGATATGTTTGAGGGTTCCACTTGCACATATAACTGCAGATCATCAGCATACAGATGGTAAGAGCACTTGAGATTTAATGTGATGAGATTGATAAAAATTGAAAACAGAAGAGGAGAGACTATACCGCCTTGAGGGACGCCAGTAGACACATCACACCAGTCAGATAGTTATATGTCCAGTGCGCACGGCCTGTTGGCGCCCTCGAAGATATGATGAGAACCATTCCTGAGCTGAAGACGATATATTCTAATGAGAAAGAAGGGCCAACAAGATATCATGATCAACAGAATTAAATGTGTTAGAAAAATCAATTAAGATGAGGACTGTCAGTTTTGATTTTTCCATCCCCTCTCGGATATATTCCGTCACCTTGAGAAGAGCAGTAGTAGTAGAATGACCAGGGCGGAAACCCGACTGATAAGGGGAAAGAATATTATTTGAGAAAACAAAAGAAGAAATCTGTTTATGAGCAACAGCTTCCAGAACCTTAGAGAGAAAAGGCAGAATAGAAATTGGTCTGAAATTGGATATAGCGTTGCAATAGCTGGATTTAGGAATAGGAATAATAAAGGCTTTACACCAGAGAGTTGGGAAAACACCATTCATCAGCGAAAAGTTAATGATATGAGTTATCACGGGTAAAACAGCATCCAACATGTGCATAACCATTACCCTACTCACATCATCACAACCAATGGCTTTCGATTTAATAGAAGAAAGCGCTTTGCGTATCTCGCTTTCGTCTACAGGAGAAAAAGTGAAAGTTTCGTGAGAATAAGGAGGCATGGAAGATATAAATGAGATAGAATTAGCTCTAGAAATATCAGAAACTATTTGAGAAGACAGAAAATGACGATTAAAATCGTCAGGAGAAAGGGTGATGCTATTATAGTCAAATTTCGATTTTCCATATCCAAGCGTTTATGCCAGGTACTTGGATCAGTTATGCGGCGTCTGCGCCGCTTTACTGGCATGAGTGATATAAGACCACTTAAATACAAAGATTGTTCGTTATGCATAGATATTCCATTAAAGTTTTTGATTATTTGCCGACAAGCACATTCAGGAACTTCTTGAAAACACTAGAATATTTGGCATTTAAAATCTTCTCCTGTGGCTTGCCATTCTCTAATCAACTTCATCACCCATACAAAATTTCATCAAAATTGGTCCAGCCACTTAGGAGTTTCACATACACAGGAACTAAAGAATTACATAATTGCACACTTCATAACGCGAAATTTTATTATGTAGTTGTTTACTCTCCACATGTCAAGGTCAAGCAATTTTGTGTTCTTAAAATGCCTCTATCAAGACCATATTGGGTAAAACTATAGATATCCCGTACTCGCATACAGGGGTGGGAGTGGGAGGGGGAGGATTCAGGGGAAGCCCGCCCTACCCTTCCCCCCTTGCGGAAATGTATAGTTTATGAGTAATAATTTTTTTTTAAAGTCATAGCCTCACTTTTGTACACAGGAATATTGACTCAAAGTTACTTCTGCAACATCTTTGGCGGCATCACAGGCACCCATGCTCACCTTCGCAACTCACACAGGTGCCTGCGATTTGCATTTGCGACAAGGGGCGGGGGCTGCTCTCCCTCCGCGCCTATGGCTTTACAAACACTCTAGTGGCAGGGCAGACAAGACTACGTAGAGTCGGGGCGAGCTGATTCGGTTTTAGTACAGATCCGACATCTATAAAGTCAGGTTGACCTAAACTCTGCTATGATCGTGGTAAATTAAACAATGTAATGTGAATCGTTAAAATTTTTTTCTGAAAAACCTCTTGACTGCTCCCCACTGAGACTCAAATCTTTGTGCCAAAAAGCCACAAACGGATTGTCTGGGTCTGAGTAATTAACTTTTTTATGGCTGACCCCATTTCGTTATATGAAATTTTAGTTAGTTAAATTTATTTTTATCGTAATTACTTCGAAATGCATTTCCGACATCCAAAAACAGTGTAAAAGGTTCAAGCTTAACAATGACAAGCCTCCTAAACTAAAAACATAATTAAAATCAAGTACCGGACGTCTATAGCCAACCCCACTTATATGATAATATGTAATAAGAGTTTTCCCTGTAGGTGACACTACCTGTTATAAATAATAGAGAGCTAAATTTAAAACACGTAAATAATATATTTTAAAATCAGGAACACAATTTTTTTTCATAAAAATTAAATGCTCATGAGGCGTTGCACCTAATCAAACTATATATAATATGCGTGTATTATACATATAAACCTTTCTTTTGAATCATTCTGTCTATTGATTAGAACTGCATCAAAATGCTCTGTGTAGTTTAAAAGATCTAAGCATTCGCCACGGTCTCCATCCCCATACTTTTAAGTAAATTGGAGCTAATTGGTATCAGAGGCACGCCTTTAGAACTACTTAGAAGTTATTTATCAAATCGTTTACAAAGAGTTAAAATAGGGCAATATGTTAGTAAATACTCTGATATTACGTATGGTGTGCCGCAAAGCAGTGTACTTGGGCCTACCTTATTTTTAGTATACATAAATGAACTGTGTGATCTAGTCTAAAGGAGCCCGCGTTTTTTCTTACGCTGATGATACTGCAATAGTATTTTCAGACAGAAATTCGGATTCAGTACGGAGGGTAACTGAGCTCGGTTTGATTAAAGTTGCATTTTGACTCAAGTTTAATTTACTCACTTTAAACACTCAAAATACCAATTATATTTGCTTCACATTAACACTTTCACTGTCCGTTTTGCAGACACAATAGTAAGACAATAGCAATGACCTATTATGTAGTGCACGAGACAGCGAAAGGGTTAACTTACAAAACTCAACCAGATACTAATTTTGCCATTAAAATTTATACATGTGATACTAATAATGCCAATTGTCTATGCCCATCTATCCATAAAGTAAATAAAACAAAATATTTATGAGTTATTTAAGATCAACTACTATCTTGGTTTGATTAGATTGAACTTGTAAATGCACGAATTATAAAACTAAGTTGGCTTTTCAAACAGTTGAGATATGTAGGTTCTAACAAACTACTTCAACAGATTTATATTTCCCTAATCCAATCTATTATCACTTATTGCATTCATGTCTGGGGTAGATCAGCGAAAACTAAATTTATAGAAGTGGAGCACTTCAAAAATCACTCACTTTTAAAAGTTATGCATTTAAACCTTTCCTTTTTTCAACCTCCAACTTATAACAAATGGGTGACCTGCTAACAGTAAGAAAATTATATGTTCTACATTCTATTCTAAAATATCATAAAACCTTAGTATATAATCATAACACTCAAAATAAAAGAAGTCGTAATTACTAAAAAAGTAAATTCTCAAGTTAAAATCTTATCTATCAAATTACATCTGTACATTGTAAAAAGAAATTAGTTATTTGGCTTAGAACCTTAAATTATGAAGAAATTGAGAATTTACTATATTAAATTATTTGATAAAGGCTGTACATACACACATAAACACACTCACGCACGCACCCACACACGCACATACACACACACAAACAGCTTATAATATAAGGCTATGGTAGCGTGTAACCTTCTGGCACAAGTATTTTAAATACTACCACTAAGAGGTCTCAACTATAACACTATCAATTTACAATGTACTTATTACCCATCTGTATAATAATAATAAATAAATATTATTATTATTATTATACAGATGGCGGGAAGCGTCTTTGTTTTATACTATGCAGAGATGTCAAAAAGAAATATAGTAATAATTATGTCCTGTTGTATTTTAATTTTAGATTATTCTATTTCATTTTTTAGGTTAAAACAAAGCATCCAACAAGTAGAGCATATTGTAATACTTGCCAAGAGCTCTACATTGTGTCTCAGAGTAAGAAGCATTTACGTGATCATAAAGTAGTTACACCACTGACAGATGAGCAACTTGCAAATCCAACTTCTTGGCTTCCACCTCTGGAGAATGATGAAAAGGAGGCACAATACTTGTTTTCCAAGAAATCAGTTAGTACTGTCCTGGGAATACTGAAAAATAATGCTATTAGGTAAAGACTTAGATATTTTTTTAGTTTAAGGTACTCCCTATTAGTCAGCTTACAAAGAGGATAATTCGTACTGGCAACAAATGTCTAATTTATAATTATAGATTATTTTGTAATTATTTACTTATTTTAATGATCTCATGTTGGTTTGGGACTCTTAGTTCCCATGTTTATGTTCAAACAAAAAGAATGTGCCAACTGTGTTACTTGAATAGCATATATTGACTAATGTGATATTGGTTTGTAACTGTGAAACTCCTTCACATTTTTCTAAATGTTTTTTTTCCTAAATTTGACCACCACTGTGTGATTTAGAAGATGTTTTCTTCCTCGCACAACTTTCTTGTGGAATCGATTACCATCAGCGATTTTTCCGGACCGATACGACTTAGGGACCTTCAAGAAAAGAGCCTACTCCTTTTTAATAGGCCGGCAACACATCTGTAATTCCCCTGGTTCCCCTGGTGTTGCAGTTGTTCATGGGTGGCGGTAGTCACTTACCATCAAGTGAGCCGCATGCTCGTTTGCCCCCTCTCCTATAAAAAAAAAGAGTAGCTTGCTGCTTTTAATATACTGCTTATACTAATATAACTATATTTCACATATTATAGTTTTATACATACAAACATACATAGTATGGGTATACTCAGAGATATATAGTCAGAGTTCTATCTTTTTTACTATGGTATATCTTTTGTACTGATGAATTTTATAATAATCTCTCGTTTTAGAAATATACTCTGCGTGGGCACTCCGTCAATCCATGAAGCAGCACAGGCACATCCGGACTTTGACTCCATACTTCTGGACTATGACACACGCCATCATCTATTTAATGCTCCCAACAAATTTCTCTGGTACAACATGTTCAATGACTACTTATTTAATGGTAATGAAGATGAAAAAGTCTTAAAGAAATTCTTCAAAAACTCCAGGTGTGTTAATATTTTACATAACAAATATTAAAGAAAAGTATATCTATTTCCACTAGATCCTTGCTCATTTGCTACAATTGTCTATTCTAGTGCTTGGCAGATAGACTGGTAGTTTGTGTAAAATGTCTGTAATCTTTCCATGCTAGAGCTCAGCTGCAGTATCATTAACACCTAATCTGTATCATTAATAGATTTGCTCAAATGGCGAAAAATCATACTCACACAGAGCAGCATTACAATACTGCTGTATTTCTTATGGCAAAGACATTTCATCTTTGTATTCAAAAGTGACAACACATCTGAATTTTGATTCTTAGTCGAGGAAAGTTGTTCTATGGCCAACTTGCCAACAGGTAGGCTGTGTGCACTCGTTAGTGTTGTAAATATCTTGTACCTACTATGTCGGTATGTAACAACCCTTATTTCCATAAAAATAATCTTAGTCACTGTTCTCTGTGGATGGTCTTGGTTACCTTGCCATTATTACTAATTAACATTGAAATTAAACTTAATGATTTCTTATATTTACACAACTAGACATTGTATAAAACTAATTTTACAGATCTCATCATGTTTACTTTAAATTAGATTAAATATTATTTTTAATTTAAAACAATTAATATTAATAGAATCAGGCGTTACTTTGCGGAAATCCATTATATTAAAGTTGACAAAAAATTACTTTGCGCACATCCACCCGATAAAATAAAATGATGTGTCTTACCTAGTTTGAAGAGCACCTTGAGGGAGGGCGGGAGGCAAGGTGCTCTTCAAACTAAGTAAGACACATCATATTATTTTATCGAGCGGGGTGTACGCACAGTAATTTTTTGTCAACTTTAACAATTAATATTTTTTTAAATTAATATTCAAAAGCTAAAGCTATTGTTACGAGCTTGGGGTTCGAGACAATTAAAAACTGCCGAGTGAATTAATAAAATTGACACTTTAATTACAGAACACTATTTACAACTTAAAACCACACTAATAACAAAACACAATCGTACTACTGATCACTTTAGTTCGCAGTGTATCGCTTCGAAGTATTCGCTTGTATCGCCAATTCAACACTGACCCGGGTCGCGGTCTATACCGGCCTTATATAGGGCCTCAGATAGTTCCAGAACCTTCTACTGTAGAAACATCTAGAATGTTTGAGTACATACCCGTTCCGACTGACTAGGTGACGATAGTTCTAGAAAGTTCTTTCATGGAATTTCCTAGACGGATCTTGACTTCCCTAATTATGCTACTCGATATCTACCTGGCATTAATTGTGGCGCGCAACGTTATCACTACCATCGGGACGTAAAATCTTTGGTCCCGCTGGTGACCAAACGTCGGAAACTAAAAATAAGATAAATTGAACGCGATAAAATCCGTAAAATTGGTTTCATTCAATTAAATTAAACTTTTTCAGAGATAAAGGTCTTTGCATAGTAATAGACCCTCCCTTTGGTGGAAGGGTGGAACCATTGGTGCACACCATAAGGGAACTATCTGCAGCTTATAGACGGGTGTGTGAAGGAGAAGGACTCTTGCCAGTAATCTGGGCCTTTCCTTACTTCTCTGAACCATATATACAAAATATAGCACCTGAAATTAAGATGCATGATTATCAGGTTTGTTTCAAATTTTAAAATTATTCTTAGGTCATAAGTTCTGTCAAAAACTTTTTATAAAACTAATGATACACTTTTTGATAATTATATATGAAATGAAAGGTAATTTAATTTAGAAAACAATTGTATTTACATTATTCAAAATGCCCTCCCCTATTTTGAATACATGCCCTCAATCGACGCGGCCAATCATCAATCGCAGCACGCACTACACTCATATCTATTTCTGCCGCTGCTTCAGCCAAAGATGCTCGGAGAAATTCCAAATTCTGATGATTCTTAGCGCAGACTTTCTCCTCCAAGTGTTGCTACATCTTATAATCCAATGAGCTTAAACCTGGACTAGAAGAGGACCAGTCTTCATGTCCGATAAAGCCAATTCCATGGGCGGTTAACCAGTTTTGCGTGCTTCGTGCCAATGTCTGTTTTTGAACGTTGTTTTGGTACACCTCGGCACTGGTTTTTACACCTCAGTTAAGCCTGAATATGAGACTCCAAGCCAAACCATGACTAACGAATGATAATGTCCTCGTTGAACCCTCAGAATACGTGTGCTGGCTTGTTCACTACCGTGAGCATACACCTTATTATTTTGTTTATTATAACTTTCTTCGATGTTAAAAATTTTTTCATCCGAAAACAAAATTTCGCGGTTTTTTTTTCTCGCGTACCGCCGTAACAAAACGCCTAATCCAGCCTAATTTTTTTCAAACGCTCGTTCAAAAAGTATCCGGTCTTCTTACTCTTATCACTCTTTTGATCGTGGTTCTGCTTAGGCCCATCTGAAGACCTAAGATTTTTTGTTTACGAACAGCATTTCGTTGGATTCGCGCCTTCACTGCTTTGATGATCACGGGTGTCCTAACTGTACGAGGTCGGCCGGTTCTCTTACGATCTTCGAAGCTTGAATCTTCAGTGAATCGTTTGATAGTGCGATAAACAAATCGTTGGGTTATTTTCAATTTTTGTAGAATATTGAAAATCTCCTTTGGCGCGTAACCACAGCGGTGTAAGGCGATAACCGCTACTATATCTTTCTTTAACCACTCCATATTTGAGAGTTAATGAAAATTAATGTCATTTTTATTTTCGGCAAGCACAAACGTTGTATTTTTAAAATTAGTGAATTTCATCTAGCCAGTATTCAAAAATTTTAAATAATAAGATTTTGACAGAACTTATGACCTAAGTAATTATAAATAGATAGATAATAGGTTTACAAATTACAAATTTAAATTTATTTATTTATTTGTGAATACAATGAATTAGGTGTTAGTAAAATTTACGGTAGGTAAAATATGCTGGATGACAGAGTTTTCAATTAAAGAAAGAAGTGAACTAGATTACAACAAATCTCTATTGTTTTGTAATGTTCTTTCGTTAATATCCCGTGAAAGCCCACTGCTTGGAATGGCCCTCTCCCGGTTGAGGGCGGTGTAAACATTTCCGTTACGTAGTTTACGCTAAACGTAAAATATCTAAAACTTTGGACAAGACGTCCGGTACTTCGATCGAAAATCCAGCTGCCAAGCGTAATGATTCAGGCCAATGCTCTCTATATCGGGAGACTAGACATGTGTCAATCGTGAACGATTCGGTCGTTTGACCCTGTTCGCATAAAAGTATTGATGATTAAATTTTTATTTTGAACGTATTGGTACAAATAATGTGTTTGATTCCTAGGACAAATCAATACTTGAACGATTGGATCACTAGAAACGAACGATTGACGTTGACAGAGGTTCTTTTCCAGCACTGGTCTTTTATAGGGTGATGAATAAGAAGATTTTTTTTAAAGCAACAGCTTTAATACGGCATTTGACAGTTTAATATCTACCAACCACTCAGTGAGAGATAAAAAGTCCTCTGCCTTACAATAGGTGGTGTTGAAATGATTTTGAGACTAGTTATAAAAAAAACCTGCCCTTATTTGATATATATTGATGTCCTTTCCAGGTTGAATATCAGAATCACAAGAAATTCCAAAAGGGTGGTCGAAAAATGGGCTCGCCCGTCCGTTTCTTCACCAACCTCCCATTCTCAACAATAGACCTATCAAATGACAGCAATTATAAACACTGCGATAAATGTAAATATTGGGTGTCACAGAGTAATGCACACTGCACCAAGTGCAAGCAATGCACTAGCAAGGATGGTTCAACATATAAACATTGCAATGTGTGCAAACGCTGTGTGAAACCAACCTACGAACACTGTAACGCTTGTGGGCGGTGTTGCCATGTGAAGCATGTGTGTGGTGTAGTTGTGGAGTCACAGGTGAGTAAAATGAAACATACCCATTTAGGGATTTTGAAGTACTTTCTAGAATGACAGCCGGCAAGTGCGGTGTGAGACTGCACTCCACTAGATGGATTAAACCTGGTAGGACATACAGGAAGTCGATTATTTGGGAAAGGCCTATTTTCAGTAGAGCTGTAATGATGATGATGATAACGAAAAATATATAATCTGTTCTGCATATTGGTAAAATAATCTTAGGTTTATATATTTGCATTATGAATGTGTTGCCATTTAATTTCATAGGTGTGTGTATATAAATGAACACTAACTGTACAATGTTGGTTAACGGTGTAAGAAATCCGTTACGCCATTTCCTTCCGTGAGTGTCTTAAGAGACGACTATGGGAAAAGCTAGAAGAAGCTTATGGTTTCCGAGAGATGGCGGTATTATTATATCGTTACGTGAGACGTAAAATACGCTCACCGACGACAGGTAGCTGTTTCAAAAGCGCGAGACGTCTGGTACTACGATTGTCAATCTGTCTACCAAGCCTGACAATGCGCCACTTTGGAAGAAGTGAAATATGTGACAGATTTCACAGATGAAATGTTGTGTGAAATATTTGACAGTTGATTCGAGAATGGTTTAGATTCACAATTGGACCAGGTAGGTGGCGCTGTTGTCAAGATCCAGAAATCACCCATGCGAAGCCGGGGTGGATCGCTAGTATTTTATATTAATTAGATTGGAAATAGATAAACCAAACTTCGATTATTCCCAAAAGTAGCATGCAATAATTTAAAATTAATAATTTTGTACAACCGTCTTCAATATAAATTATTAAGAATAACTCAAAAACTATTGGTCAGACCTTGATCAAATTTATATGGGACTACATGTGAAGCACCAGCTAATACATAAAAAAGCACAGTCGAATTGAGTACCGTCTCCTTTTTGAAGTCGGTAGAAAAATTAAAGAGCAAACTACTGAGACATTGTTTTGTGCATTTAAATACTCTAGAAACCAATAAACTTTTATTAAAAACGCAATTTCTTAATAACATTGTGTAATAAATAAATTCACTTCACTTCCAACTAGTGATATCTGGTGAGCGTGGAATTATTAGCCCTCATTAAGGCAAATCTTGTCTTTAACGGGAAAAGCGTGATTGTCGCTAGAGAATATTATGGGAAATGTCGGAGAAATCTTATGGCTTCCTATTGACAGCGGTATACCATCTCTCTTACGACAGACGTAAAATACCCAGAGATTCGCCTGGCAAGCAAAAAGAAAAATTAACTAACTAAACTAGCTCTCCTCCAGATCCAACTTCTAAAACCACCAACAAAAAGCGACCCTACATTCATATTCTCTAAATTTTCCACTAAACAAAATTTTATTTATTACGAAAGGAAGAAATTGGTAAATTAGTAAGTTTTTACCTTAACTATTACGTACTGTATAACAAACATTATTTTTTTATGTAAATAATCAATATACAATTAGTAAACCTCCGCGCCCGTGTCCGCTAGCAGTTAAGTTACGATCGCATCAAAATAACGCATAAAAATAACTTATAATTTGAGCAATCAGTATCAAATACGTCTTTAAAATAGTGAATATAAGCATCAGAACTAAGCAGCGTATAAAAAGTAAAAATCATTAGTGTATAGTGATAGTATATATCTTAACATTATTTTAAATATTTTGTATAATTTTTGTGCCATAAAATAAACTAGTGATCTAAGTCTATATTTATTGGAACCTATATGACAAAAGAAGACTATTTAATATAAAAACTATGTGTAAAGCATTAACATTATAGCAATAAAAGTATATCATTATGGATAAAGTGTTAGAAAATAAGTCTAAGGTATAAAGCATTGAAATCAATTGTGTGACGGTGGATTAACATTTAAAAGTACTCTACGAACGGTGCTCGTTATGTATCATTTGCATATTACTAAGCATTAAAAACCACTTTTTAAACTTGTAGCAATATTTCGACACGTTTGCCCATGCATCATAATACATACAACTAATTATTACTAAATCGACAAACAACAAGATGTTTTTGTAAATATTTTTGTTTTTGTTTTGTTTTCTTTTCTTTTCTTTTATTTTTCTTTATGATTATAATTGTTATATTAAATGTCTATATATAAAAAATTCAATAATTAGAAACTAGTGAAAGTCATAGAGGTCATCAATAAAAGGTAAAAGGTATTTTTTACATTAATAGAAAAATAATTAAGAGCTATGGGTAAACAATGCAATAAATGAATGTAAACAGATTATTAAAGGAAGACAATATCTTAACTGTACTATTTGTAAAGGAATATTTGACCTTAATTGTTCAAAAACAGAAAAAAGGTACTACATAATGACACCTACGCAAAAAAGAAATTGGAAATGTAGTGATTGTTTAAGTAACGTCCCAAGCACGTCATATACAACTCCTGCTAATGATAATTTCACGAACGTATCAATTACAAAGAAAACACACAGTCCCACTTCAAATCTCAAAACTAAAATTCTATCACTTGAAAAATCTACTCCTAAAAGTGAAAGACGAAACTTACTATTGGATCAATGCACTCCTGAGTCAGGATTCAGACTAGATTCTCCTAAAAGTAGACAGGATAAGAATATAACGTGTCAAGTAAAGCACACAAGTAACATACCAATAGAAAATTCTTTTGACTCGCTCTCAGTTGATGATGAAGAGGAGGATACAGTGCTCTCATCTCCCGAGCTACTACACAATACATTGAACAGAAGCTGTCCTGACTTGAGACCGGATGACAAAGAAAAAATACAGAATATGGAGCGTATAATAGGAGAACTAAATGAAAAATTAGCATCAGCAAATCAAGAAATTGAAAATGTACTTTTAGAGAACAGTTTATTAAAGAAAAAAAATAGCTACACAAGAGCAAAAAATTACGCAACTATTACAAATATGCGGATCAACTGAAAAACCACCCAAAAAAATACGCGTAAGATGAATAACACGAAGAATATAGGGCTGTCCTCCACGGATTTACAAAATGAAAAGTCATTAATAGAAAGTTTAGAAATAGAAGAAAATGAAAATGCAGCTATTACAAACCTTGAACAGGACAAATCACTGGATAATTTATTACATATGCATCAGTTAACCAGCCCTGTTAAAAACAAACAAAAAATTGTAATTTTAGGGGACGTACAACTTTCCGGGCTATCCCTTGCCTTACTCAAAACTAGAGCTGAAAAATGGAACGACAAGTGCAATGTAAGTGCATTTATAATAAGTCAAGCACCAAGCTCATATATTCTGAAATACCTTGACGACTCGTTCCTTAACAGTCTCACAAAAGAAGACGTGATTGTGCTTGGTGTAGGAGGGCATGATGACAACATAATAAAACTGGAGTCTGAACTTTACTTAGCACTTAACAAAGTAAAACATATACGTGTCTATGTAGTGCCAGTGCGCTCTAATAAACATTTCAATGTAAAATTGTTAAACAATAGGCTATCATTATGTACAAAGTTATTTCCAAAATGCAAATTTTTAGATTTTTCATCGGATAATTTTTATAATAAATTTGTATATCTTAAGCAGCTTTGTAATAAAATTAATTTAGATATTGATAGTGACGAATATGCACAAACTTTTCTAGACCCTAAAAAATTGTTATCTATGCTCGTTATTCTATGAAAACTAAATGTTACAGACCTATGAATACATTTCATTTACGGCAAACTACTATATTAGATTATTTTTTTGTGTTAAAAAATAAAACTCAACTCCATTAAATGACTAAGATATGCAATAAAAATAACTTTTTTCTTTCATAAATACCAGGAAACTGCGTCGAATTTTACAGTATTTCATCAAAATATACAGGGTTTGTTAAGTAAATTGGACACATTGGAAATATGTATTAATGACTTTGCTAAAAACAATAATGAATTGGATGTACTCTGTTTTTCGAAAATCTTTGTAAAGAGAGGGAGCGAAACGAATATACGATTAAAACAATTTCAATTAGCCACATCGTACTGTAGAAAAAACCATAAACGCGGTGGAGTATGTATATTGTTACGGAAATCAATTGTTTTTAAACCAATTGCTATATGTTCTTCATTGACAAAAGAGAGAGATTTTGAGGCGTGTGCTGTTGACATACCCTTGTTTAATTGTATTATAATTTGCGTTTATAGAACACCTGATAATTCTAACTTACCTGTATTTATGAATGCATTAGATCTTCTCTTATTTAGGCTAACTAGGAATGGAAAAAGAAAAATAATTCTTGCCGGTGATCTGAATATCGATACACTGAAAAATAATAACGTAACTAAGGAACTAAAAATCGTACTGGCAACTTATAACCTAAACCTTCATATTGACGTTCCTACAAGGCTTAATTCATGTATTGACCATTTTGTTAGTAATATAGAAGACGCTAAAGGCAGAGTCCACTATCTCTATTTATCTGACCATGATACTGCTCAAACCTTGGAATTTAGTAGTATTCCAAAAATGAAAAGAAAGCTGAATCACTGGTACAAAAAGGTTAGAGAAACAAGTAAAGAAAATATAAATAAATTCAAGGAATGCTTTTCTAATCTTAGCTGGAGTGAGGTATATAGACATAAAACTGACTTGAATACAGCATTCAATAATTTTCACGAATATATATGCTTATATTTTAAACTTTTTTTCCCAGAGAAAAGGATTAAAGTAAAAGTAAATGACGTACGACCAAAATGGATAACAAAAGACATAGCAATATCTAGTACAAAAAAAAGAAAACTCAGGTCATTTTACTATAGAGACAAAACCTTGAAAAGTAAGCTGAGATTTAAAAAATACACTAAATTATTAAGACGATGTGTCAACGCATCAAAGAGAATATACAATAATAGAATAATTACAAACGCTAAAAATAAATGCAAAGCAGCCTGGAGTATAATCAAGGATAATAGTGATAGAATGAAAGAATTTAATGAAATTAATAAGATAATGGTAAATAATAAGAGTATTGATGATCCTTATAAAATTGCTACAGCCTTTAATAATTATTTTTTAAATTTTAATAATAAACAAAATAATATCGTAGTCCCAATGCAACGTTACGTTAATAATGTATGTAGCAGCTTATTTTTATAGCCATGTTCTGAACAAGAAATTACTAATATAGTTAAGTCTTTAAATAACACCAAATCTGTAGGTATTGACTTACTGCCTACGTTATTGTTTAAGTCATGTATAGTAGAACTTGCACCTGTTTTGAGCTTCCTCGTAAACATTTCTTTTGTTCAAGGTGTATTTCCCGAAGCTCTAAAGCAGTCTATAGTAAAGCCTTTACATAAGAAAAATAGTACTGAAGATATGGCCAACTACCGTCCAATAACTCTCGTTCCTATACTTTCTAAAATTTTTGAAAAGGTAATGATAAAAAGAATTATAGACTTTTTTAAAAAGCATAGTGTAATAGCTGAAGAGCAAAACGGCTTCCTGGCGAATAAATCGGCAACTCTTGCAGCCTACTCTCTAATAAAAATAATAACAGAAAACATAGACAAGAAGGTGCCAATTGTGTCTATATTTTTCGATATGAGCAAGGCTTTTGATCTTGTAGATCATGAGACACTCTTGACTAAATGTGAAAGATGCGCTATAAGAGGGAATACTCTGAACTGGATTAGCAGTTACCTTTCTAATCGTCTGCAATGCGTAGAAATCAGTAAGATAAATAAAAGTTATGAAATAGTTTCATTTAAATCACCTCTTCTATATAATAAATACGGTGTCCTACAAGGGAGCGTCATGGGCCCATTGTTGTTTTTAATTTATATAAATGATTTACCTAAATTAATTAATTATCCATCAGTTTTATATGCAGATGATTTATCAGTAGTAATTCCAAACCGTGACAAACCCGCAAGCTACAACCAAACCATCAATGAAACACTTAAATATATAAATGAATGGCTACTCCAAAATAAACTGTGTGTCAATGTATTAAAATCAAAATTTATACAGTTTTCGCATTATAATTCAAATCGAGTGAATCTCAAAATAGTTTGCCAAGAACAAGAAATTCAAGAAGCAGAGGATACCAAATTTTTGGGTATTATTCTTGACCAGCATTGCAATTGGAAGGCACACATACAAAGCATTTGCACAAAATTGAGCAGATTCGTATATGTCCTTAGGCGTTTAAGATGTACAGCTGGAGAAAAAACGGCATTAACTGCATATTACGGCTATGTTGCATCACTGCTGAGATATGGCCTTATATTATGGGGAAATTCTCCAGATATAAGTAAAAAATGTGTAAGAGCTATTTCAGGAGCAGGACCAAGTGATACATGCCGACCATTATATAAAAAATTTAAATTATTGACGTTAACAGGCCTCTACATCTTAGAAGTAGGAATTTTTGTTAGAAATCATCCACAATTATTTCAGAAATTTGAAATGGTCAATCAACGGCTACGCCCCAGAGACACTAACCGCCTTTTGGCTCCATCATGTAAAAGCTCACTTTTTGAAAAAAATTGCTACATGATGACTATTAAAATTTATAACAAAATTCCCTCTGATATTAGGGAGTTATCTTCTCCTCTCTTTATAAAGGCGCTTAAATCATGGCTGATTGATAAATGTTTATATAGTGTAACAGAGTATTTTGAGATAACATAATACCTTTATATACAATTAATTATAAATTTGTCATATTTATTGTATTAATGTAAAATTTAGTTTTAATGAATTTAATGAATATAGACATTTTATTTCTAAAAACATAACTAATTTATATTGATTATTGATTTATTAAAATGTAAAATAATGTATTAAGTTAAATGGAATAATATTTGAATAATAGCTAGAGATTTGTAAATTATAATTTTATTGCAATTAAAATTATGAATTAATTTATACTGTAATGTAATAATTAAAATAATAATGGCTTAACTAATATCATATAATGTTTAATATTAATCATGTAAAAATAATTCAATTAATAATTTATGAATAAATTATTGTATAAGAATTCAAGAATTCTTTATATTTGAATGAGTCTGTATAAGCATTTAATTGTACATAATATTTGAATTCAAAAAGAATATTTGTTCATATTTTTTAAGTAATGATGAAGTAATTTTAAAATGTAAGATTGGCTTAGTGTAATTAGTTGTAAGTATTTCATTAATTTTTGCATGCCAATTATGGCAAAACATGTCAGTTCCACATCATTGACCATCTTATGAACCATGTTTTAAGCAAATAAATGTTCTATTCTATTCTATTCTATTCTAAATCAAGAAGTCAACATCAAGAATATTTTATTTAATTAATTGCTATTTTAAATTAAATCGTCTTGAATAATTTTTGTCACTACTAATATCACCGATTTCCATCATCATGCTTACAATTGTAGGATAAAATTTGCATTTCGCTACTTGACCAGTAGCTCTTTCAATCACTTGGAACCAAAATGTGGGTCGTAAAGCAAAGAATCCCGAACATAGTGATGTATGAACTCGTGAAAAAATACGATATTGAGTTTACTAAGCTTTTACTAAAATATTCTACGAGGAATCCCAGCGAATAGTTTAGCGGCACCGGAATGGATCGTCTGACGTCATGTCAGCCTGACGAATCACTGTGGCTACACAGCAAAAGTAAATTGTCCTTAAATAAAGTAGAAATATATTGCTAAAAGTTTAAGCACCTTAATGGTTGAGTGGGCTGGAGAGGTTGAAGGTCATCTTTCCACTAATTGAAACTGAATTCTACTGATGAACCACTAGAAAAAACTAATAGTCATTAAAAGAAATATTCCACTAAACGGGGGGCCAAAAGCACCAATTTTAGTGGCAACACTGATCCGGAGAGGCCTATGATATACATATCACAATATTACGCTGAAAAAATAGATTACATAAAAACTGCGTGTCTTAGAATTGTTATTTTATTTGTTACAGTCCTGTTACAAATGCAATGAGAAGGGGCACAAGCAATCCCAGTGCCCAATGGTAGATGGTGGCAGCAACAAGAAAAAACGGAAGAACGCTTAACATATGTTTTATTTGTTACTAATAAATGGCGTTAAATGACGTTTTGTAATACCAGTCTTTTGATTCAACTTTCATTCTATATACTTACATCAGAAATGAATGATGGTCGGGTATCTAATGTTTTACCATAATATGGTGTCGTGGGGGTCGTAAGAGGCGTGAAAGATCTTATGGCTTTAAATGGCAGTAAGTAAATAAAATACTCCGACGTCTGGTGGTACAACCTGGTACGAGGCCGATCTTGTTTTATTTAAAAAAAAACACTAAGTAACCCTAAAAGTTTATTAGGAAAAAGTTCACACACAACATTGATATTGTTCCTGACGTCCGAAATTGAATACGTCTCGGAATCTATGTCCGATATACCCGGGGCTCTGAATCTAACTAATCTGAATTTCTGAATTAAAATTAACATAGAAAAAGAACAATGCAATTGCTGACGAAAGAACATCATATCTGCACAGGAATAGTTGTCGGACTACAAGTAGTTTTAACATACTCTTACACTAATAAACTGGCACGATATTTATACGGGTTTAGTGCTGGCCAAGCATCTCATAGAATTTTGGTTATTTTTCGATTTCAATGTCCGACAAGTGAAAACGGTTTTTAGCGGTTGAAAAGAGGTTGCAATTTTATAATTGTGTAAAATACCGTACGCAACGTGAAGGTTTTTAATAAAATAAATGGCGCTGTCACGTTATCTAATTAAATCGTAACCTTTTTCAGAATAAGTGATTTGAAAATATCACAATTCAATATTAAGTAGCATTGGAAATTATTTATATATTTGTAGGGACACATTGTATGAAGTGTATTTATATATACATTATGAAGAGCTATAGTTCATAGCAGAACTGACTTGTCTATGTAGTGATAATAAACGAGACTACTGATCAAGAGGTCCTGGGTCTGGTCAGAAATTATTTATTGCGTGCCTAGCGCAAAGCGCGTAGGTTTTTTTTATAGGATAGGGTGACAAACGAGCACACAGTCCACCTGATGTTAAGTGGTTACTGTGACCTATAGACATCTTCATCTATCCTCAATAGACTCAAAATGCAGATGATGATCACATGATATGAAGGCGTCACGCGTCATGCAAATGCGTTGTAACCCGTGAGGACTAAGATGGAATGCCTCTTTCCCAGTAAAAAGGGTCTTCGGTTCTCTACACTCACCATACGAAACACAGCAGCGTTAAGCTGGTATTCTGTGAGAGCGTGGTCCTTCCCCGGTCGAGCCGACCCATTCCTGCTACAACTATACTACTAATATAGCTGCAGCATGGCTCTACCACGCTTAAAATGTATGGTATGTCCTACTAGCGCCTAAAATTCAAGATTCCAACGTTTTGTCGCATAAAATCGTATCTAACAATGATATTGAACATATAAATGGTATAAAAAGCACATTGTCAGAAAGATAAATTATTGTTTAACTTATTAATATTTTTTTAAAATCGATTAATTGCTATTTTTACATAAAAAAGGGGTTTTAGTGGCTTATGGTGTGGATTTATTAAGTCCGCATGGCGCCGTAAACATGATAACTTGAAAATATCAGTTGTTCAACTCAATCTATTTTTAAAACTCTTCATCTACCATGTGGGAAGCCATTGAATATAACTGGAAGTTTAATTTTGTTTTGCTTAATTATAATTAATTTTAACGGCTACGAAATTTTCGGTGTTTTAGCAGCCTTGTATTAATTTATTTTTTGTAAATAAAATGCGGTAGTCTGACTGCCTCACTCAGTTCGGCGTCTACCGCCGTCGTGAGTAGATACTGTATTGGTTGTTTGCAGCGGCTCAAATAGATAGCTGTGCAAATACAAAATATTCCAAAAACCAAATTTCATACATACTTGATTATTATAATAATCAGAGATTTTTTTATTACAATATTTTATATGATTATATTTAAATACGTCTTGGACTTGGAGTTACCTGAATGATGATATGATGATCATAAGAGCATTATGAGTCGTGCACTTTTGGATTTTCCAAACTTTTTTTTAAATTGAAGTTTGACATAAAATTATTGGAAAATTGGAAGTATAATAATAATCATTTTATACGTAATTTTTTAATGCGCTTAAGGCATGCTCAATTGAATTTACCTATATATTCAGTTTTTCTGACAAGAAATTCTCAGTAACACACCGTCTCGGAAAGCACGTTAAGTCATTGGTCCTGTATCTGATCTCTCTCCGGTTGTGTCGGATTGGCGGCCCGTCCCAACTGTGAGGCTGAGGGGATAGAGAGTGCACCTGTGCTTGCGCATAATACACTATAATCTAGTCCTGCACAGATATGTCAAGATTGCGTGATAAGTCATTTAAAATGTATAGCCAAAGAGTATGTAATCACTATGTGTATGCCTGTCTAATTTATATGGTAACTTATTTAAATAATAACAACAAAATACATTCAAAAGTAGTTTACTAATCATACAGGCATACATTTTTACTTAATACTACTTAAATCATGATTATTATGTACAAATCAATAAAATCATCTAGAAAAACGAGCTACAAACATTGATTACAACACAGAAATCAAAGATTTAAAACAATAACATCAAAAATATTGATCACTAAAAATCACACAAATTGTATCTATATACATACACATAATCAAATCTTAATATAGTACAATAGTCAATACAAATAACTCCTAAACAACTTCAGAGGTTTTAGTTACTCGTTTCACTCGTCTCGGTCTCATCACATTGTACTGAAACAAAAATATATTGGAAGTTAGTTAAGTTCTGGAATTCTTAGCCAAACATCTAACATAGCTTACATATTACATAATGGCATATACATATTACACATTTTAAGGCAAGGAAACATCTTTCGCGCTGCTCCAATGCGTGTTGGCGGACTTCACATGTCTTCGTTTTGTTTTATTTTTCAGATATGATGTTTTTCTTCACCACTGAGCACATGGTAAATCAGCTCTTGAAATTGCAATTAACAATTTCATTGGTGCTGGTGGGGTTCAAACTCGGGTTCCTCGCGTACTGTGAAATTTACAGTGAGCTCTAAACCTATCACTAAACTACTGTAATTACAGTAAAAATAGAAATATGAACTTTTTTATTCAATATAGTTTATAAATTTTTTGCTAACAGTGGTAGAGCCACGCGGCAGCTTTTGCTGTCGCATGGATGGGCCGGCTCGAACCGGGGTGGTACCACAACCTCAGAGAAAACCAGCGTGAAGTAGAGGTTTACCTCTGCGTTTCGCTTGGTGAGTGCAGGTGGCCGGAGGCCCTTTTTACTGGAAATGAGGCATTCCATCTTAGTCCTCACGGGTGACAATGCATCTACATTTTGATTTGTAATAGAGGATAGATGTAGATGTCTATGGGCCGCAGCAACCACTTACCATCAGGTGGACTGTGTGCTCGATTGTCATCCTTATCCTATAAAAAAAAAACTAATTGAAAGTCAATCTTATGTTTAATTTATCACTGGTTCGGAAAATACCTATGACCTGGAAAGAACCAGCAAGAAACACAACAGGACTTTTTTTTAGAACTTTTGGGCCAATAATTGATTTAATTTTACACTCGTTAATTACATTTGCAAAAAAATGTCAATACTTTTCAATGGAAATCAGGCTATTTATAAGAACTTTTCAATTTTCCATCTTATAGCCCTAGATGGATCGCGGTATAACCGATAAAATTGATTGTCCCATCCTAGGGCACCTAGATGCGTAGGTGATAGATTTGAGTTTATATTATGTTTAGAACGTAAATATCTGTTGGTGTGACTCACTTGACGTTGATACTGTTCAATACACGTTGTGTCTGATCATAGCGCGCCTCCACTTTGGCGGCCTGGTCCAGCCACGCCATACGTACAGCCGCCCAGCGGGTGCAGTGCTCTTGCAGAAGCTGTTCCTTACTTGGTGGTGGTGCCTCACGCTAGATACCAAGGGGCATAAACTTAGTACTAACATACACATATGTCACATTAGTAATCCCCGAGGGGGAAGACAGAGTCCAAAGAGCAGCGACATGGACAATGTTTAGCAAAAAATATGGGTAAAATGGAAAATTTCAAAAGAAGTTAATTAAATAAGGTAAATGTATTGAGTATTATACTGCAAAGTTACACAGCACATAAAATTGGTTGGTAATATGGAAAGTATTTTTAATTTAGCGATGAGGCTACGAAGAGACCTATGTTCAGCAATGCACTTGTGATGCTGTAATTAATATATGCATTTAAGTATTAAATTTCACACACTTACATAGTTTAAATTGATATTATCCTTATTATGGGCCTTCTGCTCTGGGATTAATTCTGGTATTCTAGATACAGGTGACCCTTCTGGTCCAGGTAATTCCACACTAAGTTCTGTGGATTTCGGTTCAGTATATTTTCTTCTGGAATGTATATGTAATTATTAGTTTAAAACAATTAATATAATTGAATTTAAATAAGTAAAGTTATATATGTTCCACTGGTGAACACTGGCATTCTTTCATATCTAAAAGGATTATGGAAAAATAATTCCGCCATTGCTCTAGTAAGTGTTGACGGATTTCACATGTCTGTGTAATTTTTTTTATGGAATAAGGGTGACCAGCTAACATAGCTCACCTGATGGAAAGTAGATGCTGTGGCCCATAGACTTCTACATGTATCCTCGATTAATAATGAAAATGGAGATGCGTTGTCGTCCCTGAAGTCTAAGATGCCTCGTTTATAGTCAAAAGAGTCTCCGGTTCTCTACACTCACCATACGAAATATGGCAACATTAAGCTGATATTTTACAATGGTATTTCTGTTAGATTGTTGATAATTGAAAAAGATGAGTTATTATCCTAATTTATTTATTAAAATGATATCATATATTAAGTTCATCTCACATAAATTTATAAACATCTTTAATGGATTTGTGTTTTGGGGAAAAAATCAATATGAAATACTAATATGGCATAGTAAGTGAAACAATTTGTGTATATTTTTATACCTACTAACAGGAGTAGTGGCTCAAGGGCTCTTCGTATATTTCACAATACACTAGCAATCTAAGTTCGATCACTGCTGACACTAACAAAATTGCTAATTGAGATTTTTAATGGTGATGACATGATTACAACTGCTGCTTCTTGATAGAAAATCCTTGTGAAGAAACCAACATGACTGAGATAAAACATTTCGAGGAAATGTGATCTTCCACAACGCACTGGAGCAGCATGGCAAAATAATTACTCCTTATATACCACTTAGAAATGAGAGATCTGTACCCAGCACTGGGATATATAGTTTATATAAGCTAATTGTAATTTCAAGACACAATAAAACTTATAATAGAATTTATAATTAAATAGGTATAGCTGCTATAGCATAACTTGGGAGATTTAGGGCTTAAAGAGAAATTTCAAAAAAATTGCTAATCAGGATGTTTACTAATTTCTTTATTTTTCCAAAAATAAAAAAGATAAGAAGTAAATAAGTAAAAAAATAGCTAAGTGAAAATGCTATATATTGGATGCCTGCACCTAAAATGCATAACTAATAAATGAACATTAATGTATTACTGTGTGCTTGTTACTTTTAAGTTATTTTTGTTCTACACTTTGGCCTAGATGTGCAATTAACAGACACATAGGTCATATAATAAAAATAAATAATTCTTCTTTTACTTACCCATATGCACTATAGTTTGCTTTTGGCTGGTTTTTAATCCAGGCCCTGCAAATTGGGTACAAAGGAGAGTCTTCACTAAACTGGGACAGGTCAACACTTCTATCAAAGAGTTTCAATACATAGGACTGTCTTGCTGATAATAAGTTCTTGTCAGGTTTATCCTCTTCCTCAGATGTGTAGTCTCTTTCTAGTTCTTGACTAGTTTGTCTAAGCATAAATACATAGTTATATTACTAAACATAATAATGCTAGCGAAATAATTATATTTCAATCAAAAATAAATTATATTGCAATTTAAAGTGAATTTTAGTGTAATTTAAATTATACCTTTCACGTTTAACAGGACTGGGGCCAGATGAAGCATCAGATTCATCTCCTAGAACTTCCATTAAAGCACCTTTTAAGCGCCCACGCGCTGTGAATACTTCTTTATCTGAATTACATTATAAACATTGTTAAAAGTAAGATTTATTAATTAGAAAAACGATAAAAGTATAATAACCAATCATAGCACTTTTAGTTAAAATAAAAAAGTAAATTACCTTTAAAATCATCGAATTCTTTTCCACTATTTATCTTAGATTTGTTTTTCGTTGTAAGCAATCGTACTCTCTTCGACATTATTACAATATAAATCAGTAAATAATATAATAATTCAAAAGATAATAAATTTAATAGCTTCCAAAACAAGTAAAATTTCAAAGAATAAGGTATGTAAATAGTAAGTAAAAGTAAATTATGTAGTTAAGTAAAGGAAAAGCAATGTTTTAAATTTATATTAGTGATCGAAGCTACAAAATAGTGTGAATAGAATTAAAGTAAGCATTCAAATTTCAAATCTTTAGAAAATTATTTGTTGCTTTTGCTTGCTTGCCTTGATCAGCCTTGATTTCGATCCACAAATTAACAAATTATATAGAAACACTATTTCGATCTCGATCACAAATAAATAAATAATAAGGCCGGCCACATACATACAGAATTCCGTTTCGATATTTCGATTCGGAATTCCGAACGCAGCAAGTCCATATTATAAAATTTGTGACCCGTCACACGCGTACGGTAGTTTTCCGTTCGAAATTTTGCGGGCAATACGGGATTCCGTATGTGTGTGGCCGACCCATTTGGAATTCAGAAACGGAATTCCTTCTATAACGAAAATAATATCCTCCAACTTCAAATTTTATGCAGACGATTTGCAGCTTTACCGTCACTTTGAGGCATCTGAGGCTAAATTGGCGATAGATGCATTGAATGATGATTTGGATAGAATTAGTCGTTGGTCCAGATCCCATGGTTTAACTATAAATTCAAGTAAGTCTCAAGCGTTAATAATAAGTAGCAGATATAATAGTAGTATTATTGATAAATGCACCCTGCCAAATGTGATTATCAATCACTTATTCGGAATCTGCAAAGAACTTGGGCCTAATTCTTGACAATAGGTTATCATGGGGTGCTCATATAACGGACTTAGCAGAAAAGTTCATTATGCTTTTCACTCGTTAAAACGACTTTAAATTTTTTTACCCTTATTAACTAAAATCTCTCTTGTTCAAACTCTCATTTTGCCAATCTTAAATTACGCTTATGTCTTTTTTTTCGATGCCTTTGCATTCGGTATATTTTTGGACTCAAAAAGTTTGACCACGTCTCTAAATACAGAAAGCAGCTCAAGTGGCTCCCGATCCGATTTCGCAGGAACACTGGTCTCCTTTTTAACATCTTACATAGTCCGAATTTCCCTTCATACCTTCGTAATCGATTTACCTTTTTTAAATCTCCAGATGTAGTTTGTAGATCTCACCTTAAAACCCTCTTAAAATTCGCATCCTTTAAAGCTCATTCATATTCCTGTTCATTCTCTGTACATGCAGTAACACTCTGGAATGCACTTCCTCCTCCCATTCGAGAAATCAAAACAGTGAGATTGTTCAAAAAACGTGTAAAAGAACATAATTTATCCCTGTCTTCTATGTAAGTTTCCATATCTTTGATATTTACTACACTTTTTATTATTTATATATATATTTAATTATGACTATATACAGGGTATTTTTGGAACGCTCCCGAAAACTAAGACAGGCGACAGCACCAAGTATACCTTTGATCATGGGTCACAAATAAATTTGATCCTGATGAAAAAAAAATCATATTTTTACAACATTTTACTAGCTTTATTCACGCGCCATCATGTTAGTACAGCTAAATGAATCGATAATTTCATAAAAAAAATCATGAAAATACTGAAACATAAAACCAGCAGTGGAAACTGAATTGATATCACCTGACTAATGGAGGTTAATGTACGCGCGAACGGTGAAAAAAGAACGCTGGCCTTGAACTTGGGCACTGAGCGATTTATCACATATAGGTACGAAGGGGCGCGACGGGGGAACAATCCGCCAGTATTACTGTGCCTGCATGCTATTGGTTCCCGCGCTTTGTTTGCTCCAAAAATACAGTCGCATACACAGCTTACTTTGCGACTCGCGACGATGTTTTAAAAAGGAAGGAAACAAAAATTATTTATATCTATTGTTTTATGACTAAACTAGTGAACGAAAAGGTAAATATGATAGGAGAAGGTGAATGGGGAAAATTGTGCAGTAAAGTGTTGAGGGAGAATACCGAAAAAATTACCATGTGATCGACCTGATGACGGAAGCTCAAGCGAAGATGAAAGTGATGATGAAGTAGCATCCAGTAACACCAACACACCATCAACATCTGACTTTCATGTGACCCAAGACGTCATAATGGACGGCGTGTCACCCTTAGCTTAAGTTTTTTTTGTTACAAACTACTTTATATTTTACGATAGAAATAACAAATAATGCTCAAGTAAACATTATCCATTTTTAATTCCCACCTCTTCCAAAGTTCTAAGTAAATAGTAAAACACCTATTATGATTCTACAATTAAACAATTAATTACTATAATATTATAAAACAATAGCTCAATACCATGTAGTACTTTAGAACGCGACTGTACACACACTCTCTCCGCTGTCGACCTGTATCTAGCTCGGTACGAAACAATGCTGCGGTCGTAAGAAAAAAGGGCGCATCTAACAATTTTTAAATAAATGAGTTAAATATACTGTAGCGGGTGGAAGGAAAAGGGGAGATCTCCCGCCGGGCAAGGTGTTCTGCCCGGGGAGCGGCCAACGCTCCGATTGGTAGTTCAGAGCTATTCTATATATATTGCTTTAATTTCGGAACTTTGATAGCGCGATTTAGGCTTCGATGTGTTTCGCTTGTGGCGCGACGACAGCGCCACCATATCACCCTCCTGCTCAGACCGGAGGTCGATAGTGCAGTCCGATTGCCGGTGCGTCCTTAAAATGCCGGTGGGGAATGCATGCTGTGTGAGTAAGGGCAAGTGACGCCGGTGCGAATGATATGCCGGTGTGTAATGCATGCCGTACTACGCACTTGCAAGTGATGCCGGTGAGAACGATGAGCCGGAGCAAGTGCCAGGGATTGTCTTGCAGTCTGCGGTGAGTCGAGAAGAAGGCAAGTAATCTGCGAGAGTGCCGTGAAGCAGAGGCGAGCAGTAAGGCTCAGAGCCGTGCCGAACACTGTAGCGCAGAGAGTAGCTTGAAGGAACAGGAAGCATTATTATTCCAGTGCTGCGATGAACCTTTGTAAAGCTAGATGGCTTGCAGAATGTGAAGACTGCAGACAATATCTGCTCGGGAGAGAATGAATGTGGTACTTGAGTAAGATGACGAAGTTTTTGAAATTGTAGTTTCCGAAGATTGTTGGATGCGTGTTCATATCACGTCGGGATCACCAATGTAGTGGGTGCGCAGTCTGTTGTTATGTGTATAGTAACGGGCATATAGATAAATAATGTCCAACACTTATTACACTAACACGTTTATTGCACATAAATACAGTCACACCAATAATTATATAGTCAGAAGGAGAATGCAACACTTACAAGAAGAAACAAGCTTATAGATATAAAGAAAGGCGGAGAGAAGTTTAAGAGAAAATAGATAATAGGCTTTAGTACACACGTAAATATTTTAATAGCACACGTCCGTAAGCTAAAGCGACAATCTCTCTCCGTAGTAGTACGTAACCGACTGATCAAGGTTCAAGGAGGCGTTGCGCTCACGCCACCCGCTCGTAGCCATTGCCGCACTCGATAGCACCTTATAAGGTAATGCATCGATGACACCACCGGGATCGAACCTATGAGCGTCGGCCAACTGGTAAGTATGGTGGTGTGTTATTAGTGTAAAATGTAGTTTGTTAAATGCGTGTGTGTGTGTGTGAGAATGTATGTTGGTGTAATATATTATGTGTGAGTTGCACGTTCCCCACATCAGGTGATGTGGTGGCGCTGTCGTCGCGCCACAAGCGAAACACATCGAAGCCTAAATCGCGCTATCAAAGTTCCGAAATTAAAGCAATATATATAGAATAGCTCTGAACTACCAATCGGAGCGTTGGCCGCTCCCCGGGCAGAACACCTTGCCCGGCGGGAGATCTCCCCTTTTCCTTCCACCCGCTACATTGGTGACCCCGTTTAAACACAATAATGAGCAACGTCGAGAACAAGTTCGAAGATGCTAGAACGTTTGCAGGTGACCGCGCCCAGGCTCGCTCAACAACGACAGAGACGCCGCAAAATGAGCCTACATTAGAACTATGTAAGGTCGGAGTTCGAGTACCACCATTTTGGCCGGAGGAGCCAGAGATATGGTTTGCCCAGGTGGAAGGTCAATTTAATATATCCGGCATTACAAGTGATGCAACTAAATTCAATTACGTTATTGGTCAGCTGGATAACCAGTACTCAGTGGAGGTAAAAGACATTATAATTAACCCACCAACTAGTAATAAATATGACAAGCTGAAGAACGAGCTAATTAAGCGGCTGAGTGCATCCAAAGAGAAAAAGCTCACACAGTTATTAATGCACGAAGAAATGGGTGACAGAAAACCATCACAGTTTCTCCGTCATCTGCAAGGTCTTGCTGGCATACAGGTCTCGGATGATTTTATGAGAACCATTTGGATCAGTCGTCTTCCATCTGGCATCCAAACATTTTTAGCAGGCCAACCGCATACATCCATCGAGACACTAGCGGACGTAGCCGATAGGATTCACGACCTAGTACCATCATCGCCTCAGGTGGCATCAACAAGTCGTTCTTATAATGAACCGGTGTACAACGACCTTGCGAAAGAAGTTGCAGCGCTTAGAAAGAAAGTGCAAGCACTTACTCTAATGCACAGAAGAAGCAGACCACGATCACGCTCTAAACGAGATACTCGTAAAAATCGCTCTTCATCAAGGTCTCAGTCCAGCTACAGAAAATTTCCTTTATGCTGGTACCACTCCAAATTCGGCGAAAAGGCAGATAAATGTGTACGCCCATGCGACTATCGGTCGGAAAACTCCAAGGGCAATCGGTGATGTCGACCGACGATTGCCCCTACTCAACTGGTCGTCTATTCGTAACCGACCGCATCTCGAAGACTCAGTTCCTGGTCGATACAGGAAGCGACCTCTGCGTCTTCCCTCGGTCGTTGCTACGTGAACGTCGTGCTCGGACTACATACCAGCTAAGTGCAGCCAACGGTTCTCATATAGACACTTATGGTTATGTACATTTAAACTTAGATTTTGGCTTACGTAAAATATTCAAGTGGCGTTTTGTAGTTGCAAATGTAACAAAGCCCATTATTGGCGTAGATTTTTTAAACTATTATAGTATAATTGTAGATTGTCGTAACAAGCGTATTACTGATAGTACACCATCTATAGTAGCCACTGCCTCACAAGTAAAATCAACCAATATTTCATCAATTAAGGTTTTAACTGGTAACACAAAATATCACCAAATTTTGACAGAATTTTTGGAAATTACCCGACCAGCTGGTATACACCGCACTATACAGCATAACACAGTTCACCATATACGTACGACACCAGGACCTCCAGTTTCTTGTTCACCTCGTCGCCTCGCTCCAGATAAACTCAAAATAGCCCAACAAGAGTTCCAATCCATGCTAGATAATGGGATAGCTAGACCTTCTGAAAGTTCTTGGTCTTCGCCACTCCATTTAGTTCCAAAAAAAGATAATGGTTGGCGTCCTTGCGGGGACTACAGAATGCTTAACGCTCGAACAGTGCCCGACAGATATCCGATCAGGCACATTCAGGACTTTGCACATAGTATATCTGGTTGCAAAATTTTTAGTACATTGGACTTAGTCAAGGCTTACAATCAAATACCAGTTAGTCCTGAAGATGTACCAAAAACTGCAATAACAACGCTTTTTGGACTCTTTGAGTTCCCATTCATGGGTTACGGTTTACAGAATGCTGCACAAACGTTCCAGAGGTTTGTGGATGAAATGACAAGGGGGCTCGACTTCTGCTATTGTTATTTGGATGATTTTTTAGTTTTTTCAAAGGACGAGGCACAACATGAACAGCATTTGCGCGCAATTTTTCAAAAACTAAAAGAATATGGTATGCTAATTAATACGTCTAAGTGTGTTTTTGGTGCTCGAGAAGTATCCTTTTTGGGATATCACATCTCGGCATCAGGCACCAAACCACTAGACACTAAAGTTGAAGCCATAAAAAACTTCCCATTGCCCACCAATGTTCGTCAACTTCGACGATTTCTGGGCATGGTCAATTTTTATAGGCGATTTTTACCACGTGCTGCAGAAATACAAGCACCGCTTAACGCCTTGTTGGCAGGCGTAATAAAGAATAACCAGCCTATTACATTATCTGGTGAGTCTTTAAATGCATTTAAAACATGCAAAGAAAGCCTTTCTGAGGCAGCGTTATTAGCACATCCAGATTGCCAAGCAAAATTGGCTTTAGTCACTGATGCGTCGGATAAGGCAATTGGAGCTGTTCTACAGCAGTTAAAAGAAGACGTATGGCAGCCGCTAGCATTGTTCTCCCGAAAGCTGAACACTTCTCAGGCAAAATATTCCCCTTACGACAGGGAGCTCCTAGCAATTTATGAGGCTATTAAATATTTTCGCTACATGTTAGAAGCAAGACATTTCACAGTATATACTGACCACAAGCCAATCAGTTTCGCATTTCATGCAAGGAAATCCAACTGTTCGCCTAGGCAGTATAGGCACTTAGATTATATAGCCCAGTTTACAACAGATATCAGACATATTTCCGGTAAGGACAACGTTGTTGCCGATACACTTTCGCGCGTAGAGGCATTAGAGGCCCCTATTGACTTAGAAGCATTAGCTAAAAGCCAAGCTTCTGACCCTGAGCTTGAAAAGCTCATAAAAGAAGGCTCGTCACTACGCCTAGAACAACTTACTGTACCCGGGAGTCGAACCCCATTGTACTGCGACGTCAGTACACCGACTGCCCGGCCATTTGTAACCAAGTTTTTCCGAAAACAAGTTTTTAACACTTTACATTCGCTCAGTCATCCAGGCGTTAACGCAACCGCCAAGTTAGTAGCAGAACGTTTCGTGTGGCCGAAAGTTAAAAAAGACTGTCGAGAATGGTCAAAAACGTGTTTACCATGCATGTTAGCTCACCTATAGGCACGTTTAAAATACCGCGTGCAAGGTTTAAACAGATTCACATCGATCTTGTAGGGCCGTTGCCATTGTCGGATGGCTACCGTTATTGTCTGACGTGTGTTGACCGCTTCACAAGGTGGCCTGAAGCTGTTCCGATCGCTGATATAACAGCAGAAACGGTTGCGAAGGCTTTGTTATCTTGTTGGATAGCTCGATTTGGTTGCCCCGCAGACATTATAACTGACCGCGGTAAGCAATTCGAGTCAAACCTTTTCCAACAACTCGCCAAAATAGCCGGATTCCAGCACAAACGCACGACGGCTTACCACCCGGCAAGTAATGGACTAGTGGAACGATTCCATAGGCAGCTCAAATCGTCCATAATGTGTCATACACGAGAAAAATGGACCGAGTCACTGCCATGGGTATTGTTAGGGATACGCAGTTCATTTAAAGAGGACTTACAATCATCCTCTGCTGAATTATTGTATGGTGAACCTTTATCTTTGCCCGGAGAATTTTTTGAGCCCAGTGCCAGCGGTACAACGGACATAACCGAATTTGCACCCGCATTCGCACGTTTGCTCAAAAATTACGCCCAGTGCCTATGTCTCACCATAGCAATAAAAACATCTTCATTTTTAAAGATCTTGCCCACAGCAACCACGTATTTGTACGTGAGGACGCATCACGTGGATCCTTGCAGCCTAAATACAGCGGGCCTCACAAAGTCCTCACTAGAAGTGACAAAATATTTAAGGTCTTGGTTAACGGGAAGGAAGTTACGGTTACAGTTGATCGCCTTAAACCAGCCCATATATTATGTGACGCATCAGATAAACCCGATGTTAATAATACTGTAATAACCTCGAAAGAATACATAACACGTTCAGGACGTCGTGTAAAATTTACCGATTTTTATCGCCCTTAGCCAGGTCTCTGGAGGGGGGTGATGTGGGGAACGTGCAACTCACACATAATATATTACACCAACATACATTCTCACACACACACACGCATTTAACAAACTACATTTTACACTAATAACACACCACCATACTTACCAGTTGGCCGACGCTCATAGGTTCGATCCCGGTGGTGTCATCGATGCATTACCTTATAAGGTGCTATCGAGTGCGGCAATGGCTACGAGCGGGTGGCGTGAGCGCAACGCTTCCTTGAACCTCGATCAGTCGGTTACGTACTACTACGGAGAGAGATTGTCGCTTTAGCTTACGGACGTGTGCTATTAAAATATTTACGTGTGTACTAAAGCCTATTATCTATTTTCTCTTAAACTTCTCTCCGCCTTTCTTTATATCTATAAGCTTGTTTCTTCTTGTAAGTGTTGCATTCTCCTTCTGACTATATAATTATTGGTGTGACTGTATTTATGTGCAATAAAAGTGTTAGTGTAATAAGTGTTGGACATTATTTATCTATATGCCCGTTACTATACACATAACAACAGACTGCGCACCCACTACAATACCATGACTCATGATAAGAAGGCGCATCCACTAAATTTTTTTAATATTCACAAATATCAATATTTTAGAAATTATCGTAAGAATTTTAGACGTAACTGTTGATCACAGATGACATTAGAAAAGACTTATACAAATTCAACATAAAAGAAAAGACTTATTTAACCAGTGGCTACGTCATCTTTAACAATATTTGCATCGATTACTTAAATTTCAATTATTCTTGTCTTTTTATTCTATATCTTATTATTAAGAGCTTATATCTTATTACTAAGAGCTGGTGTTTCACATGTGGTCCCATATAAATTTGATCGAGGTCAGACCAATAGTTTTTGAGTCATCCTTAATTATTTATATTAAAGTCGGTTGTACAAAATTTTTAATTTTTAATTATTATCGTAGTAAGTCTTGTATGATATCCCCTTTAAAATCATTACTCAAGAGTTGCGGGTTGTTATTTTTTGTGTCTGACTACCAATGCTTTTCTAATATTTACTAAGAAAAAAGTAGTAAATTACTATTAGCGTCCTTTCAACTTCAAATGACCTTTCCAAAATATGTAAAAATGTTAAATGAATGGCAGTTTTTTTTATTTATTAGGTTGGGAAGACGCAAATAGTTATATGCGTCTTTCCTTCGATGTTTTTGTGTTGCCAGGTGTATTTTTTAATCTAAGATGAAAAGGAAAATTCGTTTTATTTAAATAAATAAACAAATTATCAAAAAAATAAGTTCGTCCTTAAAATCTTCATGTCTCTACGTACATATTTCAATTTTCATATAGATACCTTTTAATATACTTTAGACACGGGGTCTGAAAGAAAAATTCATAAATTTATTTTTTATTTCCATTTTACGTTTTTGTTAGTTGCGTCCTTCTTTATTATGACGGCAGAATGTAACCCGGCCGGCTCGTGTCGCCTCACGCTGTGACGCAGTAGATTTCAGTTTTGTCGGGGTTCGTTATTAATTGTAGTTTTTGAAACAGTTCCGTGTTGATTTTGTACACGCGTGCGCGAGCGACAGCTCAATCGTTTTCTTTATTAAATTGTTAATACTTGTGATTACCTGTTGGTATTATTCTTGTTGTTACGTTTTTTGTTTTAATAATGCTTAACGCGTACGTTTATAGTGATTATGAATACGGCAACATGTTAGGTATCCGAACCTAGGTACACGAAGTATCGCTAAATAAATTGTTAAGACGTCGGGATGGAACAAGTGTGTCATACTGTGCAGTGCACAAAGTATTGAAGCGTAACCGAATGCGCCCATACAAATTGCACAAAGTGCAAGCTTTAGTTCCCGGCGATCACGACCGCCGACGAGTTTTCTGCCGTTGGTTATTATACCAGCAACAACGTGTGCCTGGTTCCATTGAGTACATTATCTGGACGGATGAGTCGACATTTACCAGAAACGGCCTGTGGAACCGAAGAAATACACACGTGTATTCAGAGGTTAACCCGCACGCTGTTCGACAAACCGGGCACCAAACCCGATGGTCGGTTAACGTATGGGCAGGTTTATTTAAGGATCGCATACTGGGACCAGTGTTTCTGCCAGAGCGACTGAACGGACAGCGGTACCTAAACTTTATAAATGAACATTTGGTTGACATTTTAAACGACCTATCGTTGGCTGAATATCGCCGCACATGGTTCCAACATGATGGTGCCCCTCCACATTTCGTGAGGTTCGTCCGTGAGCGCCTCAATGAGCTATTTGATGATCGCTGGATCGGCAGACTAGGACCACACGCTTGGCCACCTCGCTCACCAGATCTGACTCCGTTAGACTTCTTTTTGTGGGGTATGTGAAAGAAAGGGTTTTTAATCGTGAATGTGATAGTGCTGAAGAAATGCGCCAAAGGACCGTGGATGCTTTCGAGAAACTACGTACGGACTGTGTCGAAGACCACACGATGATGCCCCGCCTGCACCCAAATCTACCTTGAAATGAATGGAGCACAATTTGAGCCGCATCTCATAAGACCACGGAGGATTTAGAGCGGTAAGCTGTTTCATACCTATTTTTTTTTAAATAACTTAGTACTAGACTAATCTGAATAGGTACATAACTGAATACATGAGAATAATAAACATACCTACACGATGAATAAAAACTCATGACTCCAACCTTGGTTACATTTCATTTAAGTATTTTTTCATTAGCGGGGAATCGAACCAGTTATTTGGGTTATTTAACCTGTAAATTCGGATTAAAGTGGCTAAGTGGAGACAAGCACAGTGGCAAAATAGTAGGTTAAGTAGATAAGTTAGGTACTCGTATTTAGACAAGTGTTGTAAATTATTAGATATTGTGGTATGGCCCGCTAGTTGCGGGCCGCGCGAATTTGCATTCGCGCGTACATTGACCTTTCAGTCAGATAATATATATTCAGTCATTCCACTGCTGGTTTTATGTTTCAGTATTTCCATGATATATTTTATGAAATTGTCGTTTCATTTAGCTGTACTAACATGATGGCGCGTGAATAAAGCTAATAAAACGTTGTAAAAAGATGATTTTTTTTCATCAGGATCGAATTTATTTGTGACCCATGATCAAAGGTGTACTTGGTGTTGTCGCCTGTCTTAGTTTTCGGGAGCGTTCCAAAAATACCCTGTATATTTAAAAATATATATTTATTTTATCTTGTATGTATATATGTGTATATAATAACAAAGTGCACACCTTATTATCTTTTATATATCATATATCTTTTTAACTGGCCTACTGGAAGAAATTTCATTATGAGATAAGTAGCGCCCTTGTACAAACTCTTCATCATGTGTCCTTTCCGTTGTTTGTGTGTACATAAATTGTTAAATAAATAGAAACGGATAAAAACTCTAGATTTATCAGTTTCTTCGTATTTATTATTACTGCTTATATCTAGAGGCAAAAGATTAAAAATAAATATAATCAGTCACTTTCACTACAACTAGTTGGGCTGTCGTTATTTAGATTAATTATTATTGGATTTTCAATAATGTATCAAAATTAATGTTCTTTCAAAGTCATCCATAATAATTTTCTTTGTTTTCTCCACAACTTTTGCCCAATTGTTCTTTGTGACATGGGTATATGCTTCATACGGCAAACCTTCCATTTTCTTTACAAAGCATAAGATTTTTCCATCTCGTGTGTGTTTATGTATAGTCAATAATATGTTTGCATTAAGAGCATTTCATATAAGAACTAGCCTTTGATTTGACCCAAAATCAATTCGATAGCATTATAATGGCAGAGGTATGGTGGAAGTCTTGTGCAGCGATATGCGCAGGAATAATTTGTAAAAGGGTTGTAAACCACTCTTTTCTACCGACTTCAAAAAAGAGATGGTACTCAATTCGACTGTATGTTCTTTTTTCTCATGGAACGAAGTTCTTTATCGGACAGCACGTATTTGGCGGATGGGGGCTAAGCGACAAAAAGTGTAAGATTTTTCCGTCACGACCCCTACTGACGTAGTGTAGACCCTCCTCACGCTTTTTCTTATCTTGTCATGAAAGAAATATTATTTTATTATAAATGACGCTTCATTTTAATAGATGCTAGTAATTCATTTATTCGTATTTGTTAATCAATAATATAATACGTTTATAAATAATAAAACACTATGAAAAGAACTTCGTTCCAACTGAGTGTTCCACGACACTCACGCATGTTTTTAATGTGTAAAAAAATTACATCATAACTTTTATCTGGTTGAACCAAATTCGATGGTTCTTTCTTATTAGAAAGCTGGTGTTTCTCATGTAGTCCCATATAAATTTCATCAACGTCTGACTGATATAATTTGACGGCTCCGTGGCGCAGTGGCTTAGCAATGAATTATTGAGCTGGGGGCCGTGGGTTTGAATCCCGCACCGAATAAATATTTGTATGGCCTACAAATAATTGTTCCGGGTCTGGATGTTTGTCCTCGTGCAATTTATGTTTGTAAACTGCCTCCACGATACAAGAGAAAATCCTAGTGGGTAACGTTTTTTAACTTTTTTGGAAAGCTAATAAACAATTTTCTACAAATCTTCCTCCAGCGGATCTCGCATCACCTTTTTCCATGGGTACCTTCGAGAAATCATCTTCGATGCAGTGTCATCGTTCCATCAACGAATATGACGTTGTCCCAAGTGCTTATATTTTTCATTTCTCTTAAAAAATGTTATATCATTAATGAGGCTATGTCATGCCTCTCCATAATTATTTTGCGTTTTTAATTTTTTTATATCGGAAGTGCATGCGTTTTAAAAAGGTTCTCAAAGACTACTTATCTTCACGCACGATCCCTGACGGGGTAGCCAGAGAGAACAGATCGCCAAGTGTCACGATCCTTACATACCTCTTTCGCTTCCTTCAGATTCATTATCTTCTTCATACATGCACGTCTAGGTATCCGAGTACACTTGATCCTCCCCTCTTCGAGCAATTTGCTTACATGGTCTTCGAAAGTTAGTCTCGGTCTACCTCGACACCTTTTAATATTTACTTTCGCGCTATATATTTTCTTCATCATTCGGTCTTCACTCATTCGCTCAACGTGCCCAAACCATCGAAGCACGCCCTTATCAATTTTTGTGATAAGGTCATATTTCAAACCTGCCATATTGCGAATCTCTTGTTTTCGCTTTCGGTCGGCCATGGTAACGCCGCACATTTTACGAAGAGATCGCATCTCCACTGCATTCAACTTGCTTTTATGCTTCTTCCGACATTCCCAGGCTTCGCTGCCATATAACAAAGGCGGTACCAACACTGCGTTATGTATTGCAAGGCGTGCACTCTTCACTACGCCTTGCCTTTTGAATAACGCAGTCAGGGCACCATTGACTTTGTTCCCGGCAGCGACACGCCTGTCCACATCTAAATCACATCTTCCATCCCAGCTAAAAGCACTCCCCAAGACTACCATTATATAAACCGCCATATACTAAACTTTCTTGCAACTAAGCCGCAGTAGGATATTCTTATTTAGATAATATCATAAATAGTAATATGAGATATTATTGTTTATGATATTCCTATGTATATAATTTGTCAAGGTTAACGAATATAATAGAATCAGTCCAAAAAGTTATAGCCGAGTCACAAAATAAGGTAAACACAAAATCACAAAAGTACGCACATTAAGCTCCCAAAATGGCGGGAGAGTGGAATTTCGTAGTGTTTTTTTCAGCGCGGCTTTGCATATGAATTTCTTTGCCTACACAAATTTACACTGACGTAGGAAGTTATAAAATAAATAAACTTGTTTCATTCGTGATTCATATAGTTTAAGCAATTCTAAAATTAAAATTTAAATAACCAAATAATAAATTAAATCATTACAAGATTCGATTAATTGAACCTTTTTACCGATTGAATATTTTTACCGATTATTTGCATAACAATGAATTTTAATCATTCAAACACTGCGGTAAGATACATAGTGATACATTATTGAAACAACGTCAGACGCCAGAGGTGAATTTTTTTATATTTTGCTTTTTGTGAAAGATTCTAACTTGAATTAGTGGTAAAGAACAATATACGTTGTAATGAAATATAGATAACTTCATAATTCTTTGGATTTCTATAAAAGGTTCTTTTAAATCTTGTGAGTACGCTTGTACAAAGTTATTGCGGAATGATTAATGTGAAACGTCAAAACGTATTTCTTATGGCTCCAGTACACGTTGGCCGAGCGCGCTTGGCGAGTGCGCTCGGCAGATTTTCGTGGTGCCGTTCACACGTTGGCGTGTTTCATTCTGCGTTGGTAGCTAGATGATGATGGACGTTAGGGCAATCGCGGCCACTGTCATATACTTACACAGCGCTTCACACTTCTCAGAGTGAACGAAAACAAAACTACTCATACAACAATAATCCCAGTTTGTCCTTTTTAGGGTTCCGACCTCAAAAGGAAAAAAGAAACCTTTATAGGATCTACTAGCTGACCCGTGCCCGCTTCGCTGGGGGTTTTTTCAAAATAAAAGATAGCCCAAAAGAAGCCCCTAAGCTACATTATCCCTGAGCAACATAAACGCAGAGATAATTTATAATAATATTTATCATTAGGTAGGTACTCTGAAATCGCAACTAAACATGTAATATTTAATGAAGTTAGGCAAGTTGCTCTGGTTTTATTTTTATGTTGCTCATGTTTGGGGTTCCATATAACTGATTCATTGTGAGGATCAATCAATGAACAATGAATCAATATTTCACTCCATAATTATTAAATCGTAATGTGTTGTTATGCATATAAGTAACATTAAAAATATATTATATTGAATTATATATTTTTTCATAATATATAATATTTATTTATATATGACTACCTCTTTTTCCTTCAACTATCCTTCAATAGGCCTGCTGGAAGAAATTTCATCATGGAATAGGCAGTGCCTTTGTACATAATTATGTTTTTACCATTTTCCAATCGAATTATATGTGTACATAAACTGTTAAATAAATAAATAAATATTTCCTCATTAGTCCATGTCGCCATGTTGAAACAATTTTATTAAGCCGACACTACAGTCTACTCCGACGCGTAACTATGAAATGAACACTCGGCCAACGTGTGAACACTGTTTGCGGCTTGCGCCAAATTTCTTTGATTTGTGCACGGAAAACCGACACTATACGGCTCGTCGGCGAGCGTTGGCCGCAAACGCCAAATATATACAAAACGGCCCAGTACAAGTTGGCCGAGCGCACTCGGCGAGCGCGCTCGGCCAACGTGTACTGGAGCCATTAGATTTGATTGAGTATACAGACTTTGGCAGGATTTGACAGGTTTTTAACCAAAGTAAGGCAGGATCTGTATTTTAAAGATGGTCACACTGTTACCTCCATCCATAGAGTAATAGAAGAAAAAAAAAATGGAGAACACAGACAAAGAGACAACAAATGTCAAAATCAGAGTAATTGTATGTATGGATTACAAAAATAGCGTAGGGAAGAAATTTCCCAGGTGATAAATAATATATGGAAATAAAATAACACATACTTGCTGTTAGAATGGCTACTACTACAGCATACGAACATGATGCTGATGGTGAGAACTGATTATTTTACTGTAATATGGCCCTTATTAAAGTTGATCAACTAGTAATTTGCAGTTTTAAAAGTTTTTTAAGAAATTATTTAACAGTTTTATTTATTAACATTAAAGAATCCTTTTAATTCTTGTGTAATTACTAGGTTTAGTTTTTAGAAGTTCGCTTTAAACTCAATCCTTGCGGGAGTATCCTTGTAGGATATTTATTTACTCAAATTGAGTTACACTGTGATGCCCTTTTTTTATCAGGTTCCAAGTTTATACCTGCGACACAGCGTCCAGATGGTACTTGGAGAAAACCTCGACGGATAAAAGAGGGGTATGTCCCTCAGGATGAAATTCCGCTATATGAAAGTAAAGGAAAGCAGTTCAAGGCACGTCAAAATACAGGATTACCGGTGGGTCTAACTCCAGAAATTGTGGCCCAGGCTCAAAAAAAGAAAGGGCACAGTGGAACCATACAACCCATACCTGGTATGATAATTAATGTGGATAAGAAGAAAAAGAAAAAGAAAACAGGTTTGTTATTCACATCTCTAAAGTTATTTAAGAAAGTTGGATAAAAAAAAACAATTTGTTAAACATTTAAGCATGCAGAACATGCACACTTAAGAATTTTAATAATTTCATGTATGAAATTCAAATCATTCTTAGTTCACAAAACAGTGTTTGTTTTTATTTTAAAAACTATTTCAGGTATAGAAGAAGCAGCGGAAAAACTATCTAAATGTGAAATTACAGAACCTAATTTTAATACACCAAGTACTCCATCCAATATTACTGCACCAATTCAAGTGGACCCTGCTAAAAGACTAAAGAATCTAAAAAAGAAATTAAGAGAAATTGACACCCTTGAAGAAAAAGTCAAGTCAGGGGCGCTCAAAAATCCAGACAAAGATCAAAAAGAGAAACTCTCAAAGAAAAGTGACATAGTGAAAGAGATAGAGTTATTAGAAAAATCTAGTTAATAAGATAAACCAAATTGGATAATATTTTAAAAAGTCATGTTTAATGATTTTAATTCTTAAAAAAATTAATTGTTCATCAAAAAGATTGTGTTCTTTTACTCAATTATAAATTATTTACAACTTGCCATTATGTTTCAGTACTTTCCTACATGTCATGCATTACACATTAAGCGCAAAAGTAAAGTAAATAATACTGAAGTTTTGATTGTGAACTGTATTTCTAGTGTTAATAATCATTAGGCCAAGAGCATTAATCCAGTTAATAAAAGTTATAAATTTTCAATTTCTTCTGTAGCCCATGAATATTCCACTATTAGATACATGAAAATTCAGGAAGTAATACAATCATAATCAATGTAAAACAATTCCAGTTTTGTATCAATTAGTTATTGCATAAAGTAACACCTTAGTGTATGGTAGACTTGGATATGTCATGCTCTCTTAAAGGATTGTGGTGGTGTTGTGTGATGGGTCCTTCACTTCCCTTTAAAATGGTTGAGGGCTTGTGAACAAGTGCTACTTGTGGGAACTGGTCTGCTTGGGTTTACAACACATTAATTAGCTCATAATTTTTTTAGGTGAATCGATTTTGATGTTTTTTTTTGAAAGCTGGTGCTTCTCATGTTGTCCCATATAAATTTGATGATCTGATCAGTAGTTTTTGAGTTATCCTTAATAATGCGTATTTAATTGACTTCAATTACATTTATGATGTTCTCATTTTATTTATATTAAAGTTGGTTGTACAATTTTTTTTTAACCGCTTGTTCATAATCTTTTTTGTATGTGTAATTTTATTATCATGCTTATATTACCTATGGGTCTATTTCTTTTAGAAATGACAAAAAAGAGGATAGATGCAAAGTTTATTTTGCCATTTCTTCTCCATACAGAATATCTTCCTTTAGAAATGGTAATATAATATAAAACATGTTGAGGTTTGACAAACAAAATTTTAATTTCTTGTGTCTAGTAATAGAGATTTTATATGATTTTGGCTGGAATATAAAACAAGGGCCATATAGTCAATGACAAATTAGCCCAATATTACTTTAGTTGCACACAATAGCTACTCAAATAAATTAAAATAAACAAACAGAATGCTTAAGAAGTATATTGCACATATGAAATAAGTGCTAATAGTCTAATACTAGGCTAACAAGCTGTTTTGTAGTACACTAGACATCTGCCCCGGATTTGCATGTTTGATTTATGGATCTCGAAAACAACACCACCTATTGGGATATTATGAATCTAAACTATTCTCTAATCAACTTAATTACACACAAAATTTCATCAAAATAAGTCCAGCTGGTTGAGAGGAGTGCAGTCACAAACACACAGGCAAAAGAATTATAAAATATATAATATGCATATATTATACACATAAGCCATCCTCTTGAATCATTCTGTGTATTGATGAAAACTGCATCAAAATCCATTATATGGTTTAAAAGAAATAAGTGTACGGACAGCAGGAAACAACTATGTTTTATACAATGTATACAATATGATTTGCTATTAAGACATAATTAGAATTATTATATGTGCACTACACCTATAAAATAAAAATTCACCCTAACTAGGTTATGGAATCTGAAAATTTTACTGGCCACATGAACACAGGTGTACAAATTCCAATGGAAATAAAAGAATAATGTTGTTTTATTAAATTTTAATTTTGGTGAAACCTTTTTAGCCAAATTCCTACTGTAACATATGAATTAGGGCTGGGATTTTTATACAAATTTTTGATATTAAAATATATAGCATCAATATGCCTATAATATCTGTAAAAAGTATTATTAACACATTTGATTCTTTAATAGAATTTTTGTCTAATAATGCTTTAAAACAATATTACCTTTAATTAAATACATAAAGAATTTTTATCCAGTAAGCCTTTGAATTTAGAGTGAAATAAAATGGTTGATATTAAACTGAATAAAAGAAATATATTCATACTTAATCACTTGTGCTGATAATCATTTTTAGATGTAACTAGGCATCCTTATTGAATCTGAAAAGGTGAAATATCAATGACTAAAATGACAAATATAAAGCTCACACGTATAATTATGGCATTAGCTTCAACCAATGCTAATTTTTGTTTTAATATTTTATTTAGATAAATATTTTAGGTTGGACGAAAATTAAGTTGACAGCTTTAATATATTGTTTTGGTACGGGTAAATAAAATTAGTGGATTCATAAAAGACGAACGTTGTAGTAAAAATAAAATATCTAGTATCTGCACAACGCAAATGAAAACGGCAATAATCAAGGGACAGTAAATAAATTTAAGGTTAGCAGTTACTTACCTAATATAATTTTAAATAAATTCATTCCTTGCTTTCTGTCTCGCATAATTACCCAAACATGCTAAGATTCCTATTACAGCAATACCCACACCCAAAACGGTAGCTAAGAAATCTCCAAAATCGTAGCCTGTCGATGCTTCAACATTACATATTGCTAGTAAAGCGAACACAATTGTACATAATTGTAGATACATTATAGTGCCAAATTTTATTTTACAGCGTCTTTCTTTAAAGGCGACTTTGTTGATGTTGCTGTGGTTGTAATAAGTTGATCGCTAGTTTGTTGATGTTGATGTGTTCTGTGTTGATTGCTTGATTGATGATTGATTGATTGATGTCATTTTGAAAGTCATCTGTTTGACAGTTTTGTTTGTCCAAAGATAATTTTTCTATGGTCTTAGACTCGTATGGTTGTACTTTTGCCAGTACGAAGCAATGAGATAATCTTTTATAATAATCTGTTTAAAAACTATAATATGTTGATTCGTCACATTGCGAAGTTCTTGGGAGATTTAGACAGTAACAGACACAATTACTTGAGGTTCACATCACCATCGGAACAGTTGTTTCATGGTTTCCACTAAAAGTTCACACGCGCAGACATAGACATATTACACAAAATCGCGCCACTTTTTTCATATAAATCACACAGTTTATTAGAGTTTCCGCTTCCGTACATAGGTTTACTTTTAGTGTTAACACACTAATCGATCGACGATGAAATAGATCAGTCGATTTAAGTTAGTTTATTAGTTAGATTTAAAAAAGGTTTCAAACGAAACATTTTTGATTTTCTATTTTACACATAAACTTCCTTACACATTAGTTTGTTCGTTTTAACGCAAAATCGATTTTTAATACATAATTTATTACTGTAACACTATTTTACAACAAAACTATGAGTGCTAAAGGATACGGCACAAAGACAATTTTTACGTATAATTAAGAGGTATTTTAACATTAACATTTTAACATTGTTTTCGAGATAATACGTAGGTCACTCAATAAGTTTTGAGATATACAAAAAGTATTCTAGATACTGATAATATTTATTTTACATCTTTCAAAATATTCTCCATCATGCTCCATACAAAGTTCCATTCGCCTAAACCAACTCTGAAAACACTTTTACCAGTCTTGATCTGACAGGTCAGAAATCGCTTCTTCGTACGCAGCCACAGCTTCTTCGGCGCTTGAAAAAAACTTGCCTTTTATTTTTTCTTTGACTCTTGGGAACAAAAAAATTCACAAGGAGCTAAGTTAGGGCTGTAGGGTGGGTGACTTAGAGTTTCAACACCAGATTCCTCAATAAATGCTTTTGTTCTAAGGGAGGTATGTGAAGAGGCGTTATCGTGATGCAGCATGATTCCCCGAAGCCCGGTCTTTGGTCTTCTCTCCCGCACGGCTTGAAAAGCTTTGGGTAATGCAACTGTAGTATACCATTTAGAGTTGACTGACCTACGAATTTCCAGCATTGACGTCGACAAATGTCCTCTCCGCGAAAAAGAAACTAGCCACCATTTTTTTGCTGACGTTGCAAGGTCTTTGCAGTTTTGTCGGTAACAGTCCTTCTGAGTATACCCATACCGATGATTGCCTTTTATTTTCCGGATCATATTGATAGATCCATGTCTCGTCACCAGTAACGATTTCTGAAACACGCCTAGATGCCCCGTTTTCAATACGTAGACGCATTTCATAGCATCAATCCACACGAGTCTGTTTTTCGCTTTCGGAGAGAAAACGAGGGATCCATCAACAACAAAGCTTCATCACTCCAAGATGTTGATGTAGGAATGCTCCCAGAACCAATGCCTACAGTCTTTTCGATGTCCGTAAATGTGATTCGTGGGTCTTCTCGCACCAACATTTCAGTAGTACATACATTTTCTGCCGTTACTGCTGTCGCCGTGTAGTGGCGGTTAAGAATATCCACTACCCCATATCTTCCCGTGGGTGTCGTCAAAGGCGACAAAGGGAAACAGGCAGGAGATGGGCAGCAGCATCTTCCCGATAACAGCAAAAATACAATAAAAAAACTGCGGTTGCCAACCTGCTCGCCAAGAGTGGCAACTATGGCAAATACCCCCCTATGAATGAATGTAACAAAGAGACGGCCCCCAGTCCCCGGCGGCCCCACTATTCCTGGCTACGGTGGCGACCATGGTAACGGCGAGGCAGGGGGTGCTAAGAATCTCCGGTGAAGGTTCGGTTGCCACCTACGACGACTCGACCTGGCAACATACAACGCACGCACCCTGAGGACTGACGAGAAGATTGTGGAGCTGGAAGAAGAGATAGACAAGTTACGCTGGCATATTATAGGATTATCCGAAGTCCGAAGAGAGGGGGAGGAAACGGTAATCCTCGAATCCGGCAACTTGCTCTATTACCGGGATGGCGACCAACTGTCCCAAGGAGGTGTGGGATTTATCGTCCACAAGTCTCTCGTTAACATCGTTGTAAAGATTGAGAGTGAGTCGACGAGGGTTGCGTACCTTATACTCAGAATCACCAAACGGTATTCACTGAAGGTCATACAGGTTTACGCACCAACCTCGGCACACCCCGATGAGGAGGTGGAGGAAATGTATGAGGATATCTCTAGAGCCATGCATTCCTCCAAAACCCAATATACGGTGTTAATGGGAGACTTCAATGCAAAAGTAGGCACAAGAG